AAAATATTTTAAAAGAAAATTAAGTTGTAAGAAATATATTAAATTTAATAGCCTATAATTGAAATACAATAATAAAATTGATTTCGATAAATTTTGATTATATAAAAAATAAGCAAATAAAATGCATAAATTCTACTTTTTAATTAATTATTTAAAAAAATAATTCAAAAATCCATACACAAAAGATATATAAAATTACATTTAAAATAAGAATAGAAAAAATTTGAAGAGAATTTTCATAAGAAATGACAAATTGAAAAGATCAATTTTTACGGTTCCTTTACTCTTATGGCGATAGAATATCAAACCACAAATGAAAAAAGGCATGAGAGAAAAGCACATTGACTAGTGACTCGTGACCCCTTAATTCTTGACCTGGAGGGGACACCAAAAGCTCGCCCCTATCAATTTTAAGCAATAAGAGTGTGTGTGTGTGTATATATATGGAAAACTATAAAAATAACAATTTATTTTTTTATAATTTTTACAATCAACTCAAGAAAAAATTTCTTGAAAAAGAAGGTCAAAAAAATTATTTATTTATTTTTTAAAAAATTATTCAAAAAATCCGTACACATAGAAAAATAAAATATATTTATTAACAAATAAAATTACATCAAAAAGTATAAAAAAATTTGAAGAAAATTTTTATGAAACATGACAAATTAAAGAGATCAATTTTAAACATTAAAAATAATGTGTGTGTGTGTGTGTGTGTGTGTGTGTGTGCGTGTGTGTGTGTGTGTGTGTGTGTGTGTTCATATAAAAAAAACTTAAAAAATACCAATTGGCTTTTTATAATTTTTTCACTCAATTCAATAAAAAAATGCTTGAAAAAAAAAAGGGATAAAAAAGAAGAAGGCAAGCTTGGTCCATCCGAGGATCAAAAGTATTTTTTGAAAACATCACGGACCAAAATAAAACATAAAGTAAAATTTACATATTAAATCCCAAAAAATCACAAAAATACAACCATCTATAATTACAAAAAATGCCACAAAACAAACAAGTGATTTGTGAGGAAAAGAATAGTCACAACTTCTATTTTTTTTAGTTGTTTTTGTTAATTAAGCGTAAAAAGGAAATCGACATGCATATATGACAATTGTTTTTTTCTTTTTGTTACTTTTTTACATCAAATTTCTTTTAATTTCGAAGCAAATAAGTGTGAAAATACAAACAAGAGCTACTAAACAAGGTGGAACATATTAAGTTGTTCGCTCAACAAAAAGAACTGGTCTTGGGCGAAAGCCCATTCGAGTTCTTCGTTAACCTATACTAGGATTGCTTTGATTTGCGGTTGTCTCTCTAACACGAAAACGTGATATCTTTACTCTTTTTGTATTATAACAACATTTTTATTGACTCTTTTTTACTAAAATTGATCATTATAACTCTTGATAAAATCATCAATCTACTTCTCATTACTTGTCTCTTCTTTATTTTTCTCTCTCCTTAAACCCACGCTATGAAAACTACCATCACCAAACCGACTCGGAATGAATAGCCGGAGGAGATGATGATCAACTATATATATATGTATGTATGTATATGTATATGTATGTATATCAAATTGCATTCATAAAAGAAATAATACAATGTATAAAGTTCAACTATTTATTATTACAACAAAGTTACAATTTACGTATTCTAAGCGATTTAACGTGTCACGATTATATGCTTGTTACTACGATAAAGCTCAATTTTAAAAGTCACATTGGTTTAGATTGGCTCTCTTATATGAACGATCACTTCTAGCATTGTTGGGAGTGAGTATAGATGAAACAAGACTCCTCTAGCAGCTCGTTAAGAGGGAGTAAAATGAAGATAAGATTAAGAAAATATCTCTTTAATATAGAATTAAGATGAGATTATAACCAATGTATATCTTACAATCGATTTAGAAAGTCCGATCCAAATAACATGTGAAAACCATATTTAAGATTTTGGTGATAATACTTGCCGAAAGAAAAGAACTTGAGAACTTAGGTTAGGCACCGGTGTTTGATGACCGAACCGAGATCTATATAGCGTGTATAAGATGTGACTACTAAGAAAATTATGCTAATAAGATCACAAAGGATAATGAGAGAATAAATCCATACTTCTCCATTGTATGAGATCTTTAAAGGAAAAATAATGTCCTCTAACTAATACCCTTATCACTTTTTATTGTTATTCGAGATTTAGGCTTGGCGAATGCTATCTTAGTTAGTTAGTTATGGTCATATATGATTATATTTATAGAACTAGTCTAGAAAATCAGTTAAGCTTTGAATAAATAATCTAGAGTAAAAAAGAAAGATGCGTTCGATATATCCATTGGTCGGTCAATCATGTTACTTTAAAGAAAAATCACTTGAAAGTAGCATGGATTTGAGTATGGATATACAATATGAAATCGAACTATATGTCGATCGAGTGATTTAACATAATGAGATATTGAATACAAGGAACTATTTGGGATATTACGATATTTATGATATATTGCATCTCATATATCGTTTATCGATCTTATGTGATAGTTCGTTATGTTATTCCTAACGGATGCATAGTAATAAGCTTTTAAAATATAAAAATGCTCGATAGGTCGCATGATCCATTTGCTAGTATAGAGATGTACCTTTCCCTAAAACAAAATTATTTAAAATAAAATAAAATAAAATAAGGGGAAAGAAATGCAATTGTTGTATAGTTACAAGGGAAGTTATCTCCTTCAACTTCCATATATATATAAGAGAAGAAAAGGATAAGGATATTAAAAAAAAACCAACAAAATAAAAAGAACATAGAAGAACTCTTTGCAAAGTCTCTACAAAATAAGAAAAACAAGAGGAAGGTTCTCTTTGTACTTGGATTGTGAAATTTGGATAGTGATTTAATATTATCACCTAGATCTAGTATCTAGTGAAACTACTTATAGATAAGTATTATTTTGATCCTAAACTTATTTATTTATGTTTGTGATTTTATTACAATATCAAGCACCTTAAGTCTAGGTAAGGTTGTAATCTCTTGCGGGATTGATCATTATTTGCTACAACTAACCTTTCCAATTACTCAAATGAAGCAAAATCTTAAGAAATCGAGGTTGTTAGCCCTATGTTTTCAAAGTTAACAACAATGATCTTCCCTTTATTTCAAGTAATTAAGAACCAATTTACACAATGATCATTCCCTTTATCTGTCTAGATACATAATTATATTGGTAAAAAAATAATAATCAAAATAGTTGAGAAAAAAAGCAATTGAGATAGAAAAATTTTGGTAAAAAAAAGAAACAATTGAGCCATAAATATTTTTCTAGTTTAGTGGTGGCGTTTTCATGGTATGGGTTCTAGGAGAGAGAAAGGCAAAGGAGAGGGAGAAGTAATGAGAGGTAGATTGAGGATTTTTATCAAGGGTTATAGTTGCAACTAGTTTGTTGCTAGATTTATGTCGTGGCTCGAGCAGAATTAAATCATTTTAGTTTAATACCCCACATTATCTTGTAGATTTTCTAAAATATATCAAATCAAAGGTTAAAAAAAAAAAATCTAATAACTTCTTAATTAAAAGCTTGTATTTTATTTATTATTCCTTATGTTTTTCATAAATTTTCAATTGAAAAAAAAATATTTGTTATTTGATATGTATAAATTCTTATATAAAAATTTACAAAAATCTAAATAAAAAATTGAATCCAAAATTTTTAAAAGAACCTAAATATTTTTCCACACGATTGTATAAAAAAATAAAGCTACAATTAATATAAAAACTTGTTTAAAGATTAGCAAATAAAAAAATAATTTTTCTTCTTATTTAGTGTCGATGAGAAGATTATTTTATGATATATATATATGCAATCATAAAATAATCAATAATATAGCATTAAAAAATATATTTAAATCATTAGGTGGTTATTTAAAAATAATAATTTTAAAATCCGGAAAGGAAAAAAAAATACATTTTCTAATCTTTAGATAACATGTGTGTGTGAATCCAAAATTTTTAAAAGAACCTAAATATTTTTCCATTAGGTTGTATATAAAAAAAGTTACAATTAATATAAAAACTTGTTTAAAAATTAATAGATAAAAATATAATTTTTCTTCTTGTTTAGTATCTGCCGAGAACATTATTTTATTTATATATATATATGCAATCATAAAATAATCAATAATATTAAGAAAGAAAAATATTACGTCTAAAATTTTATTCAAAAATCCATATATAGAGGGAAAAAATCATATTTTCTTAAGATAAAAAATTATAAAAAAAATAAACCGAATGTTTTCATGACAAAAAATGACAAATTAAAGAAATTTTCTTAATTTTTTTTCAAAAAATTATAATTCAAAGAAATCATATTTTTTCATGGTTAGGTTGTATGAAGAAAAAGAATTATTTTTTCATAAATTTTGCACAAAATAAATAATAAAAAAATTTCTAAAAAAAATAAAAAAGAAAAGAAAAAACCAAAGCCAGGCTTGCGCCAAGGGCCTGCAAGGCTGCAAATGTAGGCCCGCGTTGGTTAGCCTGCAGAAGCAGGCTCGCTTGAAAAAAAAAAAAAACAAAACAAATAGACGATGCGTCGTTTGCTTCAACATAGCAGATGACGTATCATCCAATTCTACAGTAAATGAATAATAAATAAATAGTAAATATTCTAAATTTTTTAGTATTTTACTTAATTTGAGTGAAATAAAAAGTGAAAAATTAGTAGTGGTGTGGTTACTAGTAAGGGGAGTGCAGAATGCAGATATCACCTCTCTCCAATACAGCTCCAAAATAAGTCCAAGACAGATAGGATTTATAGCACCCACATTAGCCCATTTTATTAGTCAGTCATTAAACTAGCCCAAACTATTCTCCTTGGCCCAAGTTCTCCCCCTTCCGTCTCTACTAGTCCTCCACCTGAACCCACAAAACCCCAACACAAAACACAAAACAGACGCTCACACACAAGCAGAGAAGAGTTGGGATCCCTCAAAGCCTCATTTCACTTGGCCGTCTCTGCAATGGGATCACAACTACTCTCCACTTCACTATCTTCTCTCCGCTGCCCTTCATCAAAAACCCTTTTCTCTAACAAAACCACACATAGAAACCCAAGCTTTATTTCTTACACACCCAAAAGAAAATCTGCAATCCAGGCTAAAGTCATGGAGAAAGAGAACAAGCTGTGGGGAGGCAGATTCGAACAGACCGTGACTGATAAAGTAGAGAAATTCACTGAGTCGATCTCATTTGACAAGGAGTTGTACAAGCATGACATTATGGGCAGCAAAGCTCATGCCTCCATGCTTGCTAAACAGGTCCTTTCTTGTTCTTGCATAACAGTTTTTGTCTCCTTCTTTAAGGAAGTGAAATGGCTTGAGCTTGTTATGTCGTTTTGTGTTTTGTAGGGGTTGATTGGTGAGAGTGATAGAGACAGTATTTTAAAAGGGCTTGATGAGATACAGAGAAATATTGAGGCTGGTGAGTTTGAGTGGAGGGAAGATAGGGAAGATGTGCATATGAATATTGAGGCAGCACTTACTGAGATGATTGGTGAGCCTGCCAAGAAACTGCATACAGCGAGGAGTAGGAATGATCAAGTTTTGACTGATTTTAAACTGTGGTGCCGTGATGCTATTGATAGAATTGTTGCATCTATCAAGAATTTACAGGTTGCATTGGTCAAATTGGCTTTGAATAATGAAGGGCTTATTGTTCCTGGCTACACACATTTGCAAAGAGCGCAGCCTGTTCTGCTGCCACATCTGCTCTTAGCTTATGTTGAGCAGGTATTAATTGCTATATTGCTGTTGGTTGGCGTGGAACATTTTTAGAATCTTAATGTTTATAAGAAGCAGAACTCACTGGTGCCTAGTGGAGCGTTTACTGTGTTAACTAACGAGAAGATTGAGACTCTCATGCTTGATCTACTATTAAAAAGTTTCAAATGGATACTTTAGTAGTTACCTTAAATATTGATTTGATAGTCAGTTGAAATTCTTTTGTGTTTTTAAGACATGTTAAATGATTTGCTTCTCTATCATTGGTCAGAGATGGTGTTATTACTGACCAATTCAGTCTTTCTTCAGTCAATCAGTCATGGTGTCTTCATTAGAGTGAATACTGACTGCATTTTTTTTTCTTGTAGCTTGAACGCGATGCTGGTCGCTTACTTGATTGTAAAGTTAGGATGAATTTCTGCCCCCTGGGTGCATGTGCATTGGCTGGTACTGGTTTACCCATTGATAGGTTTATGACTTCTGACGCTTTAGGATTCACTGCTCCCATGAGGAACAGGTAAGCACATACTGTATTTGATATTTTTTGTACTCTTGGATGTTTTTGCCTTTTAGGTTCAGGATTAACATTCGTGAAGACCTTGTGATCCTTTAGTCCATGGGGAATCTGAGAAAGATGACGTTTATCATCTGATTGATTAGTTTGTCGTCCAGGCCATTTATATTCGTTTTTAGCTGCCTCATTTGAGTCTCTGGCCATTACTTTTTTCTCACACATTATGAAATATATCTGTATCTGTATATTGATGGTTGTGTCAAGGCGTCCCTGGCATATCTTCGCGATAACAAATTGCAAGATTTTGCCAAACTTTTGAAACTTTCTTGATTTTGTTTCTGAATCCTTTCTTAATTACTGTAAAAGTAGTTTTATATTATGAGTAAAACGCCTTTGTTAAAGCAGCAGTTCCATGCTGCCTGCTGTACTTAAGATGTCAATTGTTGGCTCTTGACAATGGGGCTTGTGGGATTATTTGCAGGTGTTCTTATTTACCTCAACTTCTATCCCTATATGCTTGTGAATTCCCATTCCTTCTTGTTATCTGGCTTCCTTGAGTAGTTCGTTATGTTTCTTTATTTTACATAGCATTGATGCAGTTTCAGACCGAGATTTTGTCTTGGAGTTTCTTTCTGCTAATTCCATCACAGCTATTCATCTTTCTCGACTGGGTGAAGAATGGGTATTGTGGGCCTCAGAGGAGTTTGGATTTATAACACCAAGTGATTCTGTTTCAACGGGAAGTAGCATAATGCCTCAAAAGAAAAACCCAGATCCCATGGAACTTGTTCGAGGGAAATCTGCTAGAGTCATAGGAGACCTGGTCACTCTTCTCACATTGTGCAAAGGACTTCCACTTGCTTATAATCGTGATTTGCAGGTAGGCTCTTTTATAGATTTATCTAGTTTCGCAATGATAAAAGTTTTGGAACACCTCTCTAGTATGTTGTCGGATAGTAGACCAACCAGAGGTGTAGAGCGAAATTTCAGCCTTTTTGTTCTTGAATTTGAGATCAACATCTTGGTTTACCTTTGAAATTGTGTATGTGGATACTTGTTTGCTTTGTATTAGTTATGCAGATGCATGCATCCATGTATATCCTGCTATTCATCCTTATCCTCTCCTCATACCCATTATTCGGATTTTGATTTTTTGTCTTTTTCATGAAATAGGAAGATAAGGAACCTGTATTTGACAGCATTAAGACAGTTGTAGGGATGCTTGAAGTGTCAGCAGAATTCGCACAAAACATCACCTTTAATCAGGAGAGAATTCAAAAGTCTTTGCCAGCTGGCCATCTTGATGCCACAACACTTGCTGATTATCTTGTTAATAAGGCAAGTTATTGTGATCGATCAACTTCTTTTCACTGTTTAAAATAGCTTGCATTTCTTGTACTACCAAGTTTTCATCATGATTCGAAAGTTCCAGGGACAATCAAAGACCGGGCTTAGAGCTTGAGTCCATCGCCCATGTACATTGGTTTTCGTAATAACCAACTAACTTCTAATGAAGGAATTATTCACGAAATTACTAATCCAAAATACTCTAGAAATGAGTTTCTATAGATTGTGGATGCAAATTCTTTTTCCTACATATTCTAAAGTCAACAGTTAAGCAGTGAATATTAACAAAATGGTTTGAGGAGAGGAAATACGAGCAGAAGCATATTGATAACAGATGATCCTGAGTGAGCAGAAATGCCAATCACTTTTGAGTGCCAGGCTTAGATATCCATGTAATAAACTGGCATTGTTTTTGTTTTCCATTGATGGCACCAATTCATTTATAGATTTTGAAAATCCTAGTGTATCTGAATTTTTCTTCTGCATCATATTTAATTCTTGGTTCATGCTAGAGGCATGGTGGTTCATACTTCATAGTTCCACAAATTCTCCATGCAATTTTTTTTTATATTATTTTTCCAATTCTTTTCATGGAATCATTAAAAGTTTTAACAGCCTTCTATGCCTTTATTTATTTATTTATAAATTTTGTAGGGACTACCTTTCAGAACAGCCCATGAAATAGTTGGAACGTGTGTTCATTTGTGTGTTTCGAGGAACTTACGGCTTGAAGATCTAACTCTTGATGATCTGAAACGTATAAGCCCTGCCTTTCATCAAGATGTCTACGAGTATCTTGGAGTAGAAAATGCAATTAACAAATTCCGCTCGTATGGTTCCACTGGGGCAGCTTGTGTTGCAAAGCAGTTAGATTATTGGGTTACTAAATTCGGGATTAGCAAAAACTGAACTTGCTAATAAACGCTGCTGTAGATTCTAGATGCCCTACTTTGCAAGATATTTGAAGCTAGTTTTCAGGTCAAGGAATATTGTCATACAGTTGGCATCAGAGTTGATCAGTGATAGTGCAGCTGTTTGGGATGCCAACAACAAAGAGGGAATACCATCAGGCAATGTTTAATTTATTTTGCAATAGAATTGTCCAGCCGTTGTATGTTGTATTAGAACAACCAAAAACATGACATGTATTATTGTGGTTTTCCCATTGTAGTATATCCATTTTTAACCGTGTTTCTCTTAATTTGCAAAATAATTTTTGAAAAACCTTGATCCCAATGCACAAGTTGTAGGTTGATGTGGAAACTTTCAAGATATTCTGGGCAATGGAGGCTTTCATGAGACAGGTCTTTTGAGGCATCGAAAAATCAGCAGGTCACGAACACACGCAGCCAATTGCTAGCAAGTTTTGACAGACATGAATAAATTAATCGAGTTGCCGACGTTGGTTACATGACTGGTGGGATCGACGGGTCATGGGCGGATGCACTTGCAGGCAGGCCTCTTAGGAAACTCTGTACCTTTCATGTAAAAGCTATATATAATTGACATCCGAATCTGTTTTTACTTTGATCAATGATCAATCTGCCATCTGAAGCGGTGAACTTCAGTTCTGAGCATCCAATTACCCATTTCAAAACACACAAGCATCTGGAAAAACATCATTGCAATCAATCAATAGAAATTAGGCTCGCCTCTGCATATCTCAAAGCACGATACAAATCAAAAGGGGTTCCTCAACCCTCACTTGCAAAAATTGATGTCCTCCTGTCGTCACAAAATTCAACAGACTCAATTTCAGATTTGAACAATACACCCCTCAATATTTTATGTATAGATTGTAAAGTCGAGGTTCTCTGTCTCATTTGAGTAAAACACAAGGTGTCTTAAAACAAATTCATATGGCTCTCAGTTTTCTACTCATTTCAGTTTTAAGATTTTTTTCTTGAGACTGCTGACCGCATAGCTCCTCTTGTTAACTTCAAGGGGACACCTGCTAGAGCAACTTTGTCCATTTGTCTTGGGTCTTCAGCATTTTCTGGCAGCGAGCAAGATGGAGCAAAGGTGTCAAGCTGGAAGGGCTGATTTCTGTTTTCTTGTTTTCTGGACAGGCTTTATAGGATTTGAATTCATCTGTAGGGATTCAATTTTTGTTAGAAAGCACTCGAAAAGGTGGAAAATAACAAAATAGCATCACTAATGATTACACTTGGAATCTTATGACAAGATGTTAAGAACATTGACGTGAAGTAGCCATGGGGAAAAAAATCGACCTCTTCAACTTACAAAACATTACTGTTATTAAAATTGAAAAATCCCAAATGGAAAGGTTTGGCTCAAAAACAAGAGCAGTTAAATGTGGAAGTAAAGCATACCTGCATGTTCCCGATTTCACTCAAAGGCTTCCTTAGAGGTTGAAGATAATTATTCAACTCAGTAGATTGAGACATGATAGCATCGTTTCCTGTCTCGGATGAACTGGATCCGTGCAACTTTTGAGCCACCTCTGCTTGTGGGGAGTCATCTGCCATACTCAAAACTTTTCTATTGGTGCACTTAGATGCTGCACACCCACAATGCATCCCACAGCTTCCTCCAGCAGCCCGGCATTTGCATTTTGTTGTCTTGCAGAGAGATTTTCTGCTGCATGAGCAGCAAGCTCCTGATGCAGATTTCCCCATGGCAACAATATTTCCTCCTGAACATTCTGATTCATACATGTCTGTTCCTAATAGCTCAATACTACTTCCAACAGAAACAGAGGATTGAACCGCACCTACCTAATCAAAAAACACCACCTTTCAGTTAGATCTGTACTCTCTTGCCTTTCTGCATAGACTAATTTGCTTTCTCCCGAGAAAGTAAATGCAGGACATGGAACCAGGCAGGCAGGCAGCCAGATGCTCTTACCTGTGGGTTCCTTGAATTAACTTGTGGCTTGGCCATTCCCAGTCGACTGACCAAACTACTTAGCCTGGTTACTTCTTCTTTCAAGTCTCTTAACTCGCCATCCTTCACTGCACATTCAACTTCCTTATCCTGCAGCAGGCACCTTAAAGAACACAGAAAGAACAAGTTCAATTAAAGGTATACTGATCACATGTAAGAGTGCTTGGGAAAAGAACAGTGTACATTGAGGGTAAAAATGTTCGGCAACTGAACACACCTGAAATTTTCTTGCCTTAGCATCTCCGCTTCTTCCTCAAACTTTCTAACCTCATCGCCCATCCTAAAGAATTGTGATAGAAACACTTTGTATCAATTATTGGATGAGAATGGGAGAAATAAACACTCAGTTTGAAACTTGAAACTAATAAGATAAAATGAAGATCAATAGCGGCATATATCAATAATCTTCGAAAGGAAACACCAAAGTAAACAAAAATAATAGACATTGACAATGCAATAAAAAAAAAAAGGTGTGAGCATGAAAGGATGAGTCATTTAGCATCGAATAGATTACAAGGACTTACTCTTCCATTTGACGTTCATATTCAGAACGTATTTCCTCCACCCGTGCCGCAACTTTAAGCTCAAGCTCAATACCCTGAAAAATACCAGCTCAGAGAGATATAAAATAATAAAAGCCAATGAATAAATGAATGAGCCTATTTTCAACACAAACAATAACTCATTCATATTCTAATTAACTGCTGAAAATGAAACACCTCGAGCAGAGTTTAACCCAGAATACAGAACCCATAAATTAGTGTGGCCTTTCAAATCAAACCACAATAGCAAAAGCCATTTATGCCAAGAAACAAGATAACTTCATCGAAAGATATCAATCGATTGTTGGCATTTAGAATATGAAATGAAAATTATATCAGCTGTCAATTCATGGACCAGAAAGGTGTTATCCACCATAGGCATGTATAGACAGTCACCATGATATTATTGGGCTTGCTGGAATGCCAAATATCACCACTTCACATGCACATTAAAACACATTCTACAGAGCACCTCTTCATTTACAGATCAGCATGTTCACAAAGACGAAAGCACAAACAATTCAGTCATACTCATCATCAGTACCTGGCTTCCAGCATTGTAGCCAGTTTTAGCACCTGTACAGAATTTGGGAATATGCAAAAAGTCAATAAATTATACTATTAAACAAAACAAACATGAATTGTATGAATCACTAGAACCTCTTACCAGAAGTTTTCTGAGACAAAGCCTTTCGAGATTCTAATAGATCATTTAGCCGTTTAGTTGCCATTGAAGCTTCCTCTGTCTTCCTGTGCAACACCTAATGTCGAAGCATAAGAATTAAGAACAATGACTCTCTAGAAGTTATTCATGGAAAAAGAAAAAAGGACCAAAATGATTGTAATAGAACTTCAATAAGGAGTAAATACTTTAAACATAAAACAAGCGTTTCAATTGGAACATAGAAACTTCAACAGAAAAATGAAATTACCAGCTTTTGCCTCTGGTTCAAAGCCAACAGCTTACGCATTTCATACTGGTTCCTTCTTTGCTCTTTCTTCATCTGTTGATATGAAAACACAATATATTTTTATGCCTGACCTCCATAAACACAAAAGGTTACATTCCCAAACCACAAAATGTTACAAACCAATTAAATGCAAGAATGACTTGCTGACAATAATCACAAACCTGAAGAACTTCTCTTTCCAGTGAAGCTTTTGATAGCCTGAATTGTACGGAGTCTAACTTAATCTTACATTGGAGTTGAACCTTATGCAGGGATAAAGGAAAATATAGAATTAGTTTAACAAGCAAGTTTTACATCCTGACGAAGTAATTTGCGAAGGCATGCTTACCTTCTGAGCCTTTAATCTCTGAATCTCATCCAGTCTCCCTGACTCACCATTCTTTTGTTTTAGCTTTGAGAGCTGAGAATGTGCATTTAGTTTCTTCTTCGATTCCATGACCTAAAAAAAGGCACAATATTTGTTACAGCAGTGCGAATATCGTCTTATGGCATATCACATCATTATGTGACTTATAACCTACCTGTTCTTCAAGGTTCTGTAACTTCTGGATATCATCTTGTTTCCGTTTTCGAACACTACCAGCAACGGAAATGGGTGATGAAATATTAGCAGCCGCTTTGTCCTTCAATTCCTCAATCTCCCTCTGCCGATTCGTGAGAAAAAAATTAACCCCGTAATTTCATGTTTACATTGAATCGATCGAGAAAAATACAAAAAGACTCACAACCAACGGTGCTAAATTCCCCTTGTTCGAAATTTCAAATTTCCAACTTCCTTTTTTAAAACAAGATTTACAAGATACTATTTCTTTTCGTTTCTTACTATTTCCCAGGAGCCAAACAGACATAAATTCAAAAATAAATAAATGTCTTCATAATCGACAAATCTAAAGTTTACCTTAAGAACTTCGTTTTCTTTCTCCAATTCGTGAACTCTCTTCTCGTAATCCTGGTTCTGTTGTGGCTGGTTATTGTCGTCTTTAGAAGGTAAAGAGGAATCGGCGATGCTTGATCGCTTCGATCGGCGATTTCCCTTCTTCATTTTCAGCGAAGATTATTTGATGGAATCGATGTAATCGGATCTGTCTAGCTTTCTCTTCCTCACTGGCTCTTTTTCAAGTGAAGCTGTGAAGATTCATAGCAGCGTTTTTCTTTTCTCTTTTTTTTTTTGAATTTGGTTTGGTTTGGTTTCCCTCTTCTGTTTTTATTACAGCACTGTCACCCTCACCAATCGCTATTTTGTCTTTCAAAATTTTCTACTGCTATCGGTTTTTACCGTTGCAAACCGACTATTTACTGCCATGTTGCCAAAAGGTGACGCTTAAGGGCGGAGTGTTGTAGACTCATTTAGTCAGTTGATTAACTTCTAATTTTGAATTTAACCTTTTTAAACGTTTTTTAAAAATTTTATTTTATCTTTTTTTTTTTCATTTAACCCAAATAAATAGCAATTACATAAATAGTTTTGTAATAGAAATCATTCCGTAATTACTTTTAATTTTTAATTTTTTTACTTTTTCTGATTTTCTACATTTTTCATATTGACAAAAATGAATAAATCTACTTTCCAATCTTGAAAAATTCTCAAATTTTTTAGAAAATGGATTGGAGTTTTGTGAAAAAGTTCATCTCAAAATACCAAAATTTAAAATTTTTAAAAGAGAGAAATAATAGCTAAAAATCATATGATAAACTAAATTTCAAAAAAATTAAAAATTAAAAATTAAAAATTTCATGAAGGTCAAAATAAAAATTAAAAGTTCATGTACTGATTTTCAAATGAAATAAAGTTTGAGAATGGTTTGACCTTTTTAACCTTGAAATCATTATATCATAATTATAAAAGAACTAAAACTAAATGTAATTTTATTTATTATAAACCTTTTTTTTTTTACTTTTAGTGAAAGTTTTTTTTTAATCTTTTTATTCTATTTTTATCTTGTTCCTACTTTATGCATAATGAGTTTTTTAGTTTTGCAATTCCTAAGTTTTTTTGGCTTTTAGTAAAATTTTTTTTTTCGTTTTATTTCTTGTTGTATGATCTTTATTTTATTTTGATTATTGAATTTTTATCACGTTTAATTTTTTTTCCTACTTTCTACATAATAAGTTTTAAAATATTTTTATTTTATTCTGATTTGATGAAGTCTTTTTAGTTTTTTACTTTGGATGGTCTCTTTTTATCTCGTTGACATTTGTTAAAAATTATAATCATTTAAGGTTCAAAAAACTTCTACATCATTATTTTAATTCTCAATTATTATATATTTTTTTAGTAAAATATCTCTTTTATAAAACAACATCTAGTTAGTAGTATTATATTACTCAATTTTGGCTTTTTTTTTTTTTTTTTTTTTTTTTTTTTTTGAGGCTAACCCTACAGCAACACACCACATATATGCTTTGGTCTCTCTAATCTTCTTATTATTGTATGATGAAAGGTCAATCTTGATTCTCTTATTTTTCATTTTTATAGAACAGATTTATTTAAAAAATTTTGAAATAATTTCTTTTTATGTTGTCTTATTAACATCATTGCAAGAGTTATTAAAACTATGTATTTCATGTAGAAGAACTCAAAACAACTGTGAACACGTAAAAAACCTGCGTGGCTCGCTCCAAGACAGCATGCAGGATATATTCTAGTCTATATTTTGTAAGGATTATCATAATTTTTTCTTGGGTAACCACCTGGAATAAGCCCAAATTACAAAAATTATAAATGCGATAAATGCTTAGAGTTGCATGAAACAAGATAACTTTATGGATTTATAAATACATACATTGAATACCACATATGGAAAAAAAAAATCTTGATCTGGTAGCAAAATTTTAAATTCGGAAAAATGGTTTTAACGACTATATCAAGAAATATATAAAGTCGAAAAACCAGTGTTCCAATCAATCAAGAGTATTAAAAAAAAAAAATAAACCTAGGTTGAAAGTAATATATGATTACTGTTTAAATGGATCGTTTTTTATTTTTTAAGTTGGATAAAGTAACATGACCAATTATATTTTAACTTCACCACTCATTTGGAATTGCACGATTTAAATTGAGTGAAGAAAACAAATAGCAAAAGTTATATCCATTTTTTATTTTTAAAAAACCAAATTTGAAAATATAAAAAGAAAACTCTATTTTTCAAAACATAAAAACCAACAATTGGTGGCCAAAATTTTCGAAATCAAATATAGTGGTTTTAAAAAACTGCAACAGTGATTTTGATTTTGTTTTTATTCAACAAAAATTTCAAAACAAACAAACCTTGTAGTTTTTTGAAAACAAAAACACAATCCACGCCACATAACCTTCAAGTGTTACCATTTTTAAAACGTGCCAAATTTTTATCAGTTTACTTGAATTTGATGGTTTAGATTCAATTAACATCACCAAACATGTCTTCTCAAAAAACATCAACAAATACGTAAAAAGGAAAGACAGCAACTTTGATCTCAAATTTGTTTTTCATTGTTCAATTAATGTTGTCCCGTCCAAAAAATAACAGTAATCATAATCGTATCACGTGACTTAACCAACAAGCATCAAAATTTGAAAGTCAGAGAAAGTTCATTTTTCAAGGGGGGCAAAGAATTCGTATCGACATCAATAATAAAGAATTCATACAAAACAATTAGGAGTAAAGCACCACATCTGAAAGACAGATTTTAAGTCCTAATGTAAATCTGTCTTGTTTGATTTCTAGAAAGAAATCAAATACATAATTTTCCTGTGCAGCCAAATACACAATCAAGTACGAACTAATCCAGCCAAAAAATAAGCTTAATGGTTAGTGCAATAGAATGACGTTAGCGGCCACAGTTCTCTTTCTCATCAGATTTTCTTTTCGGTCGGGCAGGGCTTCTGGTAGGAAGCACACCAGCCACCTCCTTATTTACTGATTCTTCTGCTTGATCAGCATTCCTCTCTCTCAAAAGGATGCCACCATTTGGTGCAGCAGCTGATCGCATAGCCCTCGGCAGCTTTAAAGGAATTTCTGCCTCAATTGCACTATTATCTGTTTCACTTACACTATTTGGTGCAGCCGATCGCATAGCTCTGGGTAACTTCAAAGGAATGTCTGCTTCGCTTGCACCTTTATCAGCCTTTTGGGGTCCGGCGGCTTCATTGTTTTCTGATTTTGTGCTGGGTGGGGGAACAGGAACAAGCTGAATTACTGATTTCCGCCATTTCTTTCTCTGGTTTGCCTTTGGTGCATTGGATTTAGCCTGCTTAAGTCCATAAAGAAAAGAAAAGAGAAGACAAGCTGAACTAATCAGGAGAAGCGAATTTTAGAACAATGAGATTTGATCATGAACTTAAACTAAAAAGAAGAAACCATTTGCTGATGAATTTGCACAACTAAGAATCACTAACTGATTTCTATCCAAAATGAACATACCACTGTATTGCCTATGTCAGACAGAGGCTTCCTTCTCATCACACTATCATCATTTGTTTCCAAAGGCTTCTCAACCAGGGCATTTTGTAGCAGCATTGCACCATGAGAAACAAGTACCTGATTCTTCTCTATTTCATTAGATCCAATTGCCGAATCATCCAGCTCAGTAGCTCCTCTGTTAGAACATTTATTTGGCATACAGCCGCACGATGTCCCACAAGAACCACCAGATGCTCGGCACTGGCACTTGGATGTCTTGCATAAAGAGTATTTACTACAAGCACAGCATACTTGAACAGTAGTGTCTGCCTCACCAGAACAATCTGATTTGGAGTTTCCATCATCGTAGATATCTCCTGTACTCGAACGACCTTTGGTTTTGGAATTTCTTTTCTTTCCTCGCCGTTTCCCTGACATTACCCATTCATCATCTGTCGCTTCTTTCTCTGACTGTACCCATTCATCATCTGTCAAATCATTAACTGAATGTTCAGATTCAGATGTATCCATATCATCTAGTATGTTGGGGGTGATCTGTTGTGCCTGAACAAAGAAACGAATAAACAAATTAGAAAGGCTATGGGGTCGGCCAATAGCTAAAAATTCAGTTATAAGACAATCCAGTAATACAAATTTATATCTATAAATCTACCTCTCTATTCATGTCATGCTTACGTCCTTCAGAATCAGCCTCACTTTTGATGGAGTATTTCTTCAACGCTGAACTCTGTTATTAAAATCAATCAATATTCGATAAATTGAGAATGCCAGTCAAAACAAATAGAACTGGGGAATTTCCAAGTTAGAAACATCTAGCAAATTTCCAAAATCCAAAGTGTCAAATGCAGTTCACAAAGACTAAAAAACAGATACAAAAATAAACTCCAAAAATATTTGATGACCTCCAATTATCCATACATACCATTCTTCTATATTCTAGTAAACCTTGTATAATCTTACACTAGAGCATACTATGGACAGCAAGCAATGTTGATATTGCAAAACTTAATAGGTAATTGAATAAAGCGTTACCTGTGACTTCACTTGATGAATAAGTTCTGCCCTCTGCATTTCAAGATGCCTTGCTAAACTACTAAGTTTCACCACCTTTTCCTTTAGATCTCTTATTTCGGTATCTTTTTCTCTGTAGTCAACTTCTTTATCCCTCAACAAGCACCTAGAAAAAGTAGGAAAATTCAGATAAAATCTGTTACAAACAATGTAACACCAAGGTGAAAGCTAGCCACTCCAGATATTGGACTTCTTCGATGAAATATTGACTTGAAAAATCCAGAAGATAAAAAACTGAAGAAAGAGGTCATCACCTGTTGGAGGATGCTATATTGAACAGATAATTCATCACATTTTTTGCATCAGCAAGTGACCGAACTTGATTCCAACGTCCCCTTCCACTAAAACCCCGTTCGCGTTCTTCTGCTTCTGACAATTGTGATGCCATGGAAACCAAGGTGCTAGAAGAAGCAGCAAGCATGTTTTCAAGAGCAAAAATCCTCGAATTTCTAGCTCCAGGAGACATTGCCGAGGGGCAATCACTGCATTATTAAAGAGAAGAATCTAATTGTTAACTGCCTCAAAATTAATATTCTAAGTCATAAGAGGTCATGAAGGAAAGTCAAGATGCAAAAAAGGAATCACCTTGAATTAGTTTGTCTAAGTATCTCTGCTTCTTCCTTTAGTTTTGCAATTTCATTGGCCATTCTAGCTCTCCTGAAATAACAAGATTTAATTGAATTAGCTAGTTTGGAAAAAGCATTAAAAGACAGCCTCAAAGATGTCCTCATTTGGATAATGTATAGCAAAATAATCAACGTAACAAGTCAAGTACATCCTCTCACTATATGCTAATGAAGATACAGATATTTTCACAAAGAAAAAACAGAAGTGCTTGAAATTTTTACAAAATATCATGAGTTTGAGATGCAAAAATCAGTACTCACTCTTGCATTTGACGCTCATACTCAGAACGTACTTCATGTACCCGTAATGTGACTTCAAGCTCATGCTCAATTGCCTGCATTAGAGCCTTGGCATTGAATATAAATTGTGTTAGAAACAAATCTCAGAAAAACAACTAACCAAAGCCTACAGTTATTTATTCATGTACATTCGAAATGCATAAATCTATGTCATATGAATAATAGTAGTACCTGAATTCCAGCACCGTTGCCATTTCCAGCACCTGTATAGGATAGTAAATTTTCAACAAAATGTTAAATACAAAAAACAGAAAAAGGGCAGGAATTAGTAAATCTACCTACCAATAGTTTCGCGTGAGGACATCTTTTTTGATTCTAAAAGCTCTTTTAGCCTTTTTGTAGCCATGGCAGCTTCTTCTGTCTTTCTTTGTAGCACCTGTTTTGAAATACCAAAAGTCAGTAGAGCACTTTCGTAAGTTAGAAATAGCATTCTAAGTGCACATCGATTACCATTTTCTGCCTCTGATTCAAAGCTAACAACTTGTGCATCTCGTACTCATTTCTTCTGCCCTCTTTCTTAAGCTGGCAATGAATAAAAAATGATTCCAAAGAGTATTTAGTTTTCACATCATCTTATAATCAACATAGGCATGGAACCAACCATCAAGGATCTATAAAATTTACCTTAATAATGACATTCCTAAGGAAAAGAAAATGAAAAGATGTATAACGTTATAAAGTTTAAAAAAAAAAAATACTGTATAGTTGCTTATTTACATATTTGAAAATTTTTTTATCTAAAACTTTGTAAAATCTTGCATTAAACATTTATGTACCTGAAGAACTTCCTTTTCCCTTGATGCCTTCCATAATCTGAATTGCTCAGACTCTTGTTTGATCTTATGTTGAAGTTGGACCTGGAAACAAATAGATGCAATAATACTGTGAGTAAAACAGCTATAACTTAACATAAACTATAAACAAACCTTCTGTCTAACACAATCGCACCTTTTGAGTCTTGATTCTCTGAATTTCTTCATTTAGTCGTCTTGCCGCCTCATCACTCTTTTGTTTTTGTCTCAATAATTGAGCTTGAGCATCTTGTTTCTTCTTCAACTCTGCAACCTGCAAAGCAGAATATGAATCCAAGAATAATTCCAACTGACAAGTATAGGTCTGGGAAAACTCACCTGTGCCTCAAGGACTGTCAACTTTTGAAGATAGTTTTCCTTTAGTTTTTTAGCACCATCATCAGAAGTGGATGATATATTTGCAAGATTGTATCTCAAATCCTCAATCTCTTTCTGTGCATTGACAACAAAGATGGAGATTGATATACAAAAGCATGACCCTTGAAACATGACATGTTTATGTGAAAGCACTGACCTGCAAAAGCCTCTTTTCTTGTTCTAAATCCTGAACTTTCTTCTCATAATGTTGCTTAAGAACTGAAGTATCCACACTTGCAAAACGTTTCATTTCAGCCTTCAAAAATGCCAACATAAACAATAAAAATAAGGAAAAAAGAATGAAGGACAGTGGTCAAATTGCCAACAAATTGTAGAACGAAAATAAGGAACTGCAGCTCCTAGACAGTCGAAACATAAAGAATCACATACACTGGCAATTCCTTCATTTAATTCAAGCCAGAACTAGTAAGAGTTTAACATTTCTACGATGTTGATCTTTAATGAGACTTTTGTGTGCAAAAACATCTTATGAATTGGCAGGTCCTTTATTGAACAGAAAACAGCTGCAGTAGCCCAAAAATATTTGGCTGTAGATATTACATATAAGTTTTACAACACAAGAATGAATAGGAAAGATTATACTAAGAATTAGGAGTCAAACTGCCTTTACCTCCTTTTGCTCTAGTTTTTGGTCCAATTCTTTCAGCTCCCTGTCCAATTCTTCTTGGAGAGAAGAATGCTCCAGCTCTTTTTCCTCATCTTCAACTTGATCTGCATTTGAATCAAAAGAAAATAATTTCAACAATTTTATGTAGTTACATCTCACAAGTGAAAGAAAATGCCAAGTTGACTGCCAAAAACTGAAACGACAAATAAAAGGATGATATGCGACCTATCCAATAAAAAAATCCATTGTTTGCCACAAGTGAGACCAGCATTACCAGAATTTAAGATTAGATATTCAACAACCAAATAACAAATTTACAAAGTTATTCAAAGGGAGCGTTCTTCATTTCATGATGTAGAAAAATGGAAATTAGGCTTTTCAAGAATATAAAACATGAAAACTAATAATTGCACTACCAAATGAGTTAAAGTTTCTTATATGTTACCTGAAATGTCTGCTGCTTTTGTATCAGAACTGGATGAAAGGTCATTTAGAGATTGAAGTAAAGCATTTTTGGAGGTGAGCCTCTCATCATCCAAGTCAAGATAACCAACAAATTGACTATGCTTTGAGCTGGACAAGTTTTTCAAATGCAATAACTCTCCTTCTAACTCTTGAATTTTTGACACATACATTTTCATCAAATCACAATCCTGAAAGATGTTTTTAAAACCTCATGTCAGAAAAAGAACTTTTGTATGTCAAAAGTAACAATGATACTGCATCAATCAATTCACTCTAACCTGATTTGTGGTGGAGTCAATCTCATCCCAGGATTTACCATTTCGAGCTGATTCAATTTGCATTATCAGTTTGTCCTTTTCAACCTGAAATATTGACTCAGTTGTAATCAATGCAAAGAAACATCACAAACAACATAATAATTACAGAAACATAGAAACTTAATAACCTGAGCATCAACAGCACGTTGATTCAAATGTTCACAGGTGAGTTGTCGTTTTTGAAGTTGCCGTTGTAATTCAGCATTACTCACTTCAAGCACTGATACTTTGTGCTTGAGTATCTGAACAACCACATATCATTAAATAATTGAATTTAGAAGATAAGCAGCAGATGTGGGTATTTATCACAAATTGATGTACCTGAAGCTCATCGAATGGGATGGTTGCATCACCACGATAAAATAATAGTTCAGCTTGCAATTGCTCAATTTGGCTTCTCATTCGCTGCATTTGAGCAGCCATTGGATCACGATTGACCTAAGAACAAGGGAAAAAAATGTCAAGAGCGTGAAAAGAAAACCATGACAAAACAAAGCAACAAGAAGGCAAACTTACCACTGCTTTGTTCTGAATATTGCGAGCACGATTTGCATACTTCAAAGTATTCAAGGTCTCCTCTGCATTTGTGTCAGCAGGGCTAACACATGCTATAACAAATACGACAAACAACTGTTGAATGGAGAAATCTAAAGTGCAAATATAAACTCTAAGCATCGTGATACATAAAGATGATAAGTAGCATACCAATCATCACTGTTTTGCTGTTTCCTCCCAAAGAATCCTAGAAATTCACATTCCATTGAAAATAATAAGAAAGCTTCTATCGAGAGTAGAAGTAATACTTCAAACTAAAAGTAATCACCATGTCGAGCATACATTTTCACCACAACCAATGAAGTCGTCCATCATTTATCACTTTTGTTTATGTTTTATGTGCTTTTTTTTTTTTAACTAAATAATTCACCCGCTTGATTCAGAAATCATATGATCATGAACCACAATAGTTACAGGTTTTTGCATAAAGATTAGAGGCTTAGCTTAGGTTAAACTAATAAAATAGCAAAAGAAGGGAAGGTTAAAAAACAACTGTTGTACCTGTAACAAGCGTGTCAACTTGCTATCACGATAAGGGACATGGCCACCTTCTTTCCTTTTTTCTCATCTCCCAGTGCACTTATCACATTTCCAAGGGCCAGCAAACCCTTATTGATATGGATGCCTAAAAACATGAAAACTCATAAAATTGTAAACTAATAAAACAAAGATCACAAGCGTTGCCCTTTAAGCCTGCCTATTGAACATATCGAGAATTCTTAAAAGTCTCTCGGGGTTATAAACTAAAACATTTAAACTACCTTCTTTGAAACGCATGCCATCTGCTCCTGTTCTTTTTGCGCGTTCTGATCCAGCAAGGTCAACCAAATGAAGCTTTGCACATAATATGTCATCACCCATATCATCATTATTGACTCCACTTGGACAGGAAGAAATTTTCTTTTGCTCCATGGTAATTGTAAATATAGCATGCGAGCGACTGGAAAACAATGCAACAAGCATTTTATAATTCTGAATTTTAGATGAGAAAATTAATAAAGAAAAAGGCAAATAAGTAAGAATTGCATTATAAATGTTCAATTGTTTAGTTGGATTGGACAAATGAAAAAATTCAAGTATAAAAAGTCAGCAAATGCTTATTCAGCAACCATTTGAAAACAATGAGCTCTTTGAAACCATCCTTATGTCAGGACAACTACAAAAACTAAGTTAGAGTAAATGACATAGTGAATCCACACCTAGATTGACTGTTCATGTTAGTGCTGGCAGTTGCACGAGATAAAGACCCACGCGACAAGTAAGATGCCATCTCCTCTTTATTTCTAACTTCTGCTTCAGTGACACCAGCAAGTGTTATCCCTCCATTTACTGTTTCTCTAATCTGAATTGGAACTCTAGCAGGCACCGCAGGCTTTGCAGCATTCACCCCTTCACCCTTAGAGAAAACTGCCGAATTGGGGTCGAGCAAATCGAACACCTCTTCCTTAAATATCTGTTCATTTGGCATCATAAAATTAGCACATGGTTCAACAAGAAGTACACAGAGAATTATTGCGTTGAAGCATATTTTACCTCGATGAATGAAACCCGTATCAAAAACTCTGCCGATTCTTTAGCAGTCTCCACTCTCCTAAATATACTATCCATTACTTTGGGTATAACTCCACTATTACTTCCTTCTGCAGTGTAATTAGTCCCCATTGTATACGTTTTCCCTGAACCAGTCTAATTTTAACAAACAAGACACGCCCCGTGTTAAAATCATGTTTACTATAGACATACATACATATATATATATATACACACACAGACTGTAACAAACAGAAGAAATATGTTAAACAAATTAGACGTTAAACCTGGCCATAGGCAAGTACGGTGGCATTGTAGCCATTTAAAAGCGCCTCTACCAGTGGAGCAACACAATCATTGAAAATCTCTGAAGAAGGTGACGCCGTGCTCCCATATACGTAATCGTAAGTAAACGAATGCGAGCCGATCTGAACCTGATTTTTTGATGCAAACAATGAATTTAATATTTAAATAAACGGAGCAGCTCTTTCTCGTGTATTTATAAATGAAATCTAAAATGTAAAGACATGAAAATTTAAAAAGAGAGAGACAGGCTGATTCAAATCCAATACCTGCGGCTCTCCAGGGACAACGGTGATGATGTCTGTACAACCAATGAGAAGCTCTGGTGTGATCAACGGCCGAATATTAACGGCAACTCTCACGCACTCCGAATTCTCCATCTCTGTTTCTTTAGAGCCACCAGTTTTCAAATTCGATTCAGGTACAAAAACCTAAAATAGATCCAAAATTGAAAACCTAAGTCAGATTGAAATCCAATGCACCATGACTTTACAAAAATAAGAGAAAGAAAGAGATGAGATTTAAATCAACGCTAACATTTCTTGTAACGCATGAATCGATGAAACAGAGATTTGTGATCTGTGAGCTACCTGAGGGAGATGGAGAAATTAGGTTTGAATTTTTGAAAAATGGGAGTGATTTTGAATTTTTTTTTTTTTTTTCCTGTCGAGGGTTAGATTGTTAGAAAGAAAAACATGAAGAAACGGAGAGAGTGGCTGGGTTTTTTGAAATGGTGTGTTGGGGAATGGAATTGATTAAAAAATATTGAAGTGGAATTAAGGGAAAGGCGCTTCAAGTCCGAATTCAAATGTTTGGTGGGGTAAGTCACGTGAGGGGATGTGGTGAGGCAACGGTACAATGCGGCCTTTCGAGTTGGACTTCAAAGCATCTGATCCGGACAGCCTGACCCTGCCTAATTATGTGCAAATGGAGTGGATTGGATGGCAATTATGGGTTGTTTTTGCTTTGTAATTTTACTCATTTTTTTGTAGGATCACTTATTGCTTCATCTTGACTGATTTTTTGGATTTTACTAACTCCGATATAATTCGCAGCTGTTTTTTTTTTTTTTAGAAAAACACTTTTTGTTTGTTTTCAGATATAACCAATATGAACTCAAAATAACTAATTTACATGGAGTAGAAACACTTTTTATTCATCAAAGTCAGTTAAGTATTATTATCTTTTGACTCGTGTCATGTTTTTTGGATCATGAAATTAACATTAGTTATAGAGGCTTTGCTTTAACTTCTTCAGAGAAAAAAAAACTTGTAGGAAAAAAAATTATAAACTTTCTTCATTTTTGTAGGATTATTTTATCTATTTGTCTAAATGTAGTCTTGCTTAAAAAAAAAAAAGTGTAGCAATCTAATATTTGAATTTTGTATTTTATTGATAAATTTTATCTTATTACGTGAGTAATTAAAAATATTTACTCCATTACAAAAAGATAGTCACAAAAATAAAAATAAAAATTTGAGTTTGTGTAAAAATAATTTTGTTATTATTATTATTATTATTATTTTTTTGTGTCAAACTTTCCTTTCAATGCGAACTCATGAAATTAATATTATTAATTACTTATATAATATTTTAAATTTATTTTATTTTATTGATTTTAAATGTACATCGAGAATTTACTTTTGCTAAATACCTCTAAAAATACCATTCATCAAATAGTAAAAAGACAACATTTATTGTTATTTGAAAGTACTATGATCATTATGTCTTTTAGTTTATAAAAAAGATGATATAGAATTTACAATAGGTTGAAATATTAGCACTTAGCAATTCACAATTGCACATATAAAAACTAACCAGGTTGTGAAAAAAGAGATGTCAGCAACCTATTAGGGTCTCTCCTCCACGTAAGAGATCTTGAATTCAAACTTTTTGTATGTATATAAATTATGAATAAATGAAATACATTTACAATACCTCTTAACAACTCTTAATGACTTTATAGAGTGACTTAAACGCAATATTGTAAATTTTATGCTTTCTTAATTAAATCTAATGTTAACAATTTCTGCAAAACAATTAAATTAACATTCGTTTTGATGTCGTTTGTCGTTTTTGTATGTGTTTTTAAATACATAAATTATGAACAACTAGTTGTCAAATTTTTTAAAGTCAAACAAACCGATTTTCAAATAAAAATCATATTTATGGTTTTTTTTTTAAAAAAAGAAACAAATAAATTCTGTTTCTTAAAATTTAAAAAGAGAAAGGAATGATCCGTCAATAACCCCTTATCTTTTCTACTGAGGAATTTATTGGTGGATCGAATATCCATCGCAGTGTGGCATGCTCAAAAAGAACTGGCGGCTAGATTTTACTAGACACGGTCCATACCATTTTCTTCGAATGGACGCGTTCTGCACTTACTCCTTGTTGGGTAGCACAATCTCCATCAAAGCCCATACGGAAGGACCTCTCTGGCGGCTAGATTTTCGAACTAAAATCTCAACCACTGCAACGGCTAATCATTTTTTATTTTTCTAGAAACATCGGTTTTAACTGTAGTTTATCGTCACTTCTGAAATCATCATTGCAAATTTTGTATCAGAAGTTAAAAGGAGAAAGTGTAACGTTAGGTGGGGTAACAGTCGAAGAAAACCAAAAATAATGATACTATTGAGAAAGAAATAGACATGAATTTTTCCATAGCGAACGTGGAATCGTTCCATGAAATGGGCTCCATATGTTTGTGTTTTAGGTTCACGAACAGATGTTAGCCTTGCCATTGTCATCAATGCTCTTTTAAGTCTCTGAAAATCTCAACCATTTTGTTATTGGGCTTCACAAACTCGAACTATGACATATTTAATTGCAGACCAGCTGATACCAACACAGATCCACCATCGCATGGCTGACGATTCGGATGGGCTGCGCCAATTTAAACAAGTTGCAACTTGCCACTTTGTTTCCTTGTTCGACATAAATAATCACCCCTGAGATTTTAATTTTTCAAATATATCCTTGAAAAAACTATAAATTGACCCCTCGGAATATTTGCGAGGTAATGATTCCGCACAATAAAGAAGCTTTTTTTCAATCAATAACTAATAGTCCATTTACTTATTTCCTGACTTAAATGCAAATCAAAATCATTTTTACCAGGAAGAAAAGTATCCTGATACTATCATATATTATTTTTCGTTTAGACATTAGTATGTACTAGGTTCTTAAAAAGAAAAAGAAAAAAAAACAATTTGATGATGAAAGTTTACATAAAATTTCAAACATTTTAAGTACTCTGTTTATATATATATATATATATATATGAGTGTTTTATTGGTGAATAATATTTGGAAAAACAACAACAACAGAATTCTTGAAGGAGAAAAAAAATGTAACGTGACCATTTTTTTAAAATAAAATACATGGAAAAAAATCTAAAGTCCACAAAAGTGAGAGATATTTTCAAATTTAATGGACATAAGTACAGGTAGCATGAGAAAAATGCTTGCAAGGGTTTTGTTTTACACGATAACACAAGTTTGTTATGCAAAACGGGGGACATAACAAAAAAAAAAAAAAATCTTTTGTCACCTTTCAAATAGCTTATGTTGCACTGTTTTGTGTTGTTGCCAAATGAGTATTTGAGAGAGTTGAAACTCGGGACTTACAAGAACTAGTTCTGAATTAATTTGAAGATCCGGTAGTATTACAAAAAAATAAAAAATAAAAAATTACCTAAAATAATTTCATGCCAAAAATATTTTTCTAAGAAATGGGTTATTTCTCACTACTTAGCTGTAGTAAGAAAAATATTTTTTTTGTAAAATAAAATATTTTTTATTGTTTTTTTTTAAACGATGATAATAAACAAGAAAAATCATGATATTGGTGATAAAAGTGATAGTGATACACCCATATTACGATGGTATTTATTTTAATAATCGTGATAATATAGATGATGGTGATGGTTATTGTAGGATAATGATTTTTGTGGCACTAGAGGAGATGACAACTATGATAAAATAATAATCATAATTGTAATTACTTTAATAATAAGATATTGATGGTTGTGGTGGTAATGAAAATGAGGCCACAACTCACAGTAGTTATTATTATATTGATATTGATGATGTTGAAGTAACAATAGTGATGAAGTGGTTGTTACATAGATAATTAAATTATGATGATAAATGATATTAGCAATTGTAAGGAGTTAATTATTATTGTGAAAGTAGCAATGTTGAAAGATTATGGTAAGACGAGGATAAAGTAATAGATATATTGATAATAAACTATTGATTATGATGACAATAAGAATGATGGTTAAAATATCTTTCTTCAGAAACATACTATTCAATGATTGATAGAAAAACTTTTCTCATTAATTTATTTTTTTATGTGTTGTTTCATAACAAAAAACGAGGAAAATTAATTTTTTGATTTTGTCAAACAAACAGACTACAAATTTATATTGAAATGACAAGGATGACCATAGAAGTTCACGAATACAGAAAATACACCATCCACCTCCATGGACGTCTCCTAACCTTAACACCCATCTTGATTCCAATGGGAGGCAATTTTCAATCTTCCATACTCATCTCTATCGAAGTTTCACGTTATGTTTTTTATGACTAATTTTCATTAAGTAAAGTATTTAAACCATAAAAGAATTTACGCTCATCAAACAAAGTCAATAAAGGTAATTTGCACAAAAAAAAAAAAAAACTCCACGAGTTACCTTACTTAAATATTCAAAAGATTACAAATAAAATAAATTATTTGGTTGGAGAATGCGCAACTTATCTCTATACCAGAATAAATTGAGTATTTTATTTGTTTTTACATCTACCTCCATGGAGGGAAAAATCCTTCATTTCCGTTTTATTGGAATAAACTACGAGCGTTTTTTAAGCCAGTATCCCCTCCATCCCAACCCGTGGCTTTCTTCGATTAGATTGGAAGCATGAGATCGTGAGCAGGAGAAAGCCCCACGCGAAGTGTGAACACGTCATCATGTGTCAGTAATTGTCAATCCGATAAAAGCCATCGAAGAACATCCACACACCACACACGTGTTTTTGCCGAAGTCTATTATTTTTATTCAAGTCTATGTTCCGCGGATGAGTGCTGAAAAGGATTGCCGTGTGTTGTCCAAATTTGTTCCATAAAATTTCACGATGCATGATACTATCCAACACTGTTTACAAAACAACAAAAAATGATTTGGAAATTTTGGGCACGTGAAATTGCTTTTCTAAATTCTAACACACCTTCGAAAATTCCTTTTATGTCCCGCTACGCCTTTAGCAGAGTATTACGGTGAATCTAATCAATTAATCCAAAATTAACATTCTCAAAAAGAAAATAAAACCTGATGAGAAGTTTTTGCAGTAGTTATGCTTTCTAGATTCCTAGTTGAGTAGCTTTTTGTGCACATTATGACTAACAAATATAATAAAATTTGAAAGAAATTATTTACGCATGAAATTACACATTTTTTTTTATATAAAAATAAGATTCATAAACAATTTTTATAATGAATCATTACAGTAAAAGTATAACTAACAGTACACCTAATAATTTAAAATAAACGAACCAGTTATTCCATACCCAAATTATCTTCTTCTTGTTTTTTTCAATCCTAAATTGGTGCAACAGTGTAAAATTTTTTAGTACATCATTCTCTTGAATTCGAATCTGAAATAATGACATGTTAAGCAAACCTCGAAACCCATAATAGCACCTGGAGTCAATATTTCGAAGATCGTAAAATAACGACTTGAACAGAAAATGCTTACCTCTGCAAAAAAATACTTCTAATTAATTAGCTGAAGACACTCCTAAAGTATCATCACCGTTTAGCGCATATTAGTCGAGTTGTCGCCCAGCGAACCACAACACGCATGTCGCGCACGTTAGCAAAGGATTGAGGCCAGTAGCGGCAAGGCGCCACATAAATCTGCATAGGATCGGTAAAGAGATTAAAAAATTAGAGATTCCACAAAAAAGAATTACACAAAATCCAAAAACGTACAAAACCATTGGACCACGTCGGCACTAGAAAATTCAACCTGATGCGCACGTTAGCGGAATCCCAACCATTTTGGCAAACTCCGAAAATCACCTCACAAAAGAAGTCTCAGTTTCATTTTTTCCTTCTAGTAGAAAGTGCAGAGAAACATAACAATACCTCCTTCAACAAGGTATGCAGTTTCTTTACTCCTCTCTTTACTTTTCCACTAAATTTCCCAGAAAATGTTATTGTTTGTTTCCTGGTAACAAACACAAAGTTGTAGGTTGGATTTTGATTAGGCTGGGGAGTACCTTTTTTTTTTTTTTTTTTTTTTTGGGGTTTGGTTATTGAGAAAGTAGCGGAGAGAAGGAAAATCGAAGCCTCTCGTAAAATAATTAGCAATAATTCAAGTCCTGTTACATTAGGCTTAAAGTTGAGTTATATCTCAATTTTTTAGCAACTAAATCTGTTTTAATGTTTGTAATTGCTGAGATAGTTTCTGTTTTGTTCATTTACTGAAACTTTGATCTTGGCAGGTGTCAATAATTGTTTGTTTTGTACAGTACTACATATTTGATCTTGGCAGGTGTCAATAATTGTTTGTTTTGTACAGTACTACATATTTGATCTCTGCACACAATTGTTAAACATAGTTTAGGTTCGGGTCTCTAAGGTCAAGTGAGTTTGAAAATACTGAGCAACTGGCAACAGCAACTTCAACCTGGAATTTGAGTATGATGCGTGTTAGTTCTATACAATTGTCCCATGAATTAAGGGTTCAAAATAGTCACCGATGCAGTAATCGCCACACTGTAAGTAATCCTTTTTTTTTCTTTTTTTTTAATAAAAAATTTCAATATAAAGTCAAATAAGCAAGTAAAACTGAAATTGATATGGTCTGTTTTCCATTTTTTATTTCCCTGTTTTCTACAGAGTGCAAGCGGAAAGAGCAGAGTACAGTTGGTCAATGTCAATCTTTCTTCTCAATTTTTGGTATGTGCTCATGTGGATTTAAAAAATCATGTGTTATACTTTTCAAGTTACTTAGAAGCAATGCCTTGCAATTACTAGTCTTTCTGCATGGTGTTTTGTTTTACATTTCTGATCTCATTCTGCCCATGAAGGTTATTGATGCTACTATTGTGTTCTCACTAAGTCACTATGCATTTCATTTTCTTTTATTATGAGTTTTATTCATTGTGCAAGCAGAGTCTGAAACAATGGGAATTTCTGTGTGTTGCATGTTTAGCGACAGGAAACTTGGAGTCTCCATGTTCTAAACAGCATAAGTGGGCCTCTGATTCCTGTACCTTCCAGATGTAACGTGTTCCTCTGCCAATCTGTTCTAACACCAGGTGGAGGGAATGAGATTCCTGTTCTGAAATCTGCGGCCATGGCGTTGACAAGGTATATTCACTTGTCATACTTTTGTTGTGTCCCTGCAGAATATTTTTCAAATGGGGTGACTGGAATTTGCATCACATATTCACATACTAATGTAAGTGCTGTGTTAAAATTGCTCCTGAGCAATCATGCTGCCTGCAACGAGTTAGGAATTTAATGCTGAATTTGCAATATTTCCATTGGTTGCGAGTTTGTAAGAATAACTTTTAGGACTTTATTGTTAATAGCACTAGCAATAGTTTTATAATGAGCTACTAACTTTCGCAAGCTATGAATTTTTTCGTATGAGAAGTGTGCTGATGTGGTTAATCTTGACCTGGTTGGACAACTAGTTGGTCAATTCAGGTTCCCATCCCGACTGGACTAATTTCAGTTCCTCTTTAAGCCTCGAGTCCACATGGATCTATATAGACATAGCATTTTGTTCCGTGTCTGCAGGTGTCTTGATGTCTTTATGGCGTTACTATTATTTGAATATAGAGAGTGATCCAAGCTCCTTGTGTCAGTGGTGACATTATTATGAATCTTTTTTTTTTTTTAATGGTTAAAAACTATGAATTGCTTATTTGTAAATCACTGCTACTATGTGTACAATTACTAACTTTTGTGGAGTACTTATACAGTGGATAGAATTTTGCTTAATGTCTTGGAAACTTTAATTGGATAATTATCTTATCCTTTTTCTAGATCAATCATTATGCTCAAAATTTTTCTCCCCTTTTTAGTGGCAATAGCTTAACTTGGTGGTTTATATTTGATATTTGAGTTCACAAATGAGGATGGATATCAATTGAACTGTGATAAACCATATTCACATCTCAAATGATGAATTCCATGCCAATCTTCTGCAACACTTAATCTCATTTCCCCTATTTTATGGAACATGTTATTTCCAAAGTCTTTGTAACTCTTTTGGTGTATCATACAGGTCCTATGATGCTCTTCGTGGAAGTACTCTGGTGCTTAAGTTGATCCCTGCAGTTGGTATTATTGCTTTTGCCGCATGGGGTCTTGGCCCCCTCATGCGGTTGGGGAGGACGATTTTTCTCCATGTATTCATTCTATTACCATTATACATGCCTTTTTCCTTTAACAGGGTCTAATGATCCCTTAATGCTTCTTCACAAAGTTCGATCAGATAAATCCTGATTCATTCTTGGCAATTTCTTGCAGAAATCTGATAATAGTTGGAAGAAGAGTAGCACACATTATGTTATGACCTCTTATCTTCAACCTTTGCTGCTCTGGACTGGAGCAATACTCTTCTGCAGGTATTAGGAAGAAGTTGACTTAATTCTTTGCCAGACACAGTTCCCACCATTCATTTAGCACTCACTGTTGCCAGTATATTTCAGAGCATTGGATCCTGTAGTTCTACCGTCAGAAGCAAGCCAGGCTGTGAAACAACGACTTCTGAATTTTGTACGTTCATTATCAACCGTGGTGGCATTTGCCTATTGTTTGTCCAGGTATGTTTGTTTCTCGCATGAGTCTTTAGCAATCATATCCATTCATAGCTTGAATTAAAATTGGCCAAATACTTGACCGCTGGTTGATGGGTTCACTGCCAATTCTTTCACTTCCATCAATCATTTAGCAACCTAATGTTTTATATTAGTTTCTGGTTACACATATTGGTTGTATTTTTTTTTTTTTTTTGTGGTGAACACATTGGTCCTCTTATTTACTTTCAAGCTTCAAGTGCTGTTGGCTTCCATTGGATGCTGTGCTATCTTTCTTTCACTGGTTGTAGGTTGTTAACTGTCCTAGTATTTTGTTTGACAATTTCATACGAGGACTGGAATTATGTTTTTAGTTATGACCATTTTTTTCCTTTTACAGCTTGATCCAACAGGCACAAAAAATTTTCACAGAGACAAATGACTCCAGTGATGCAAGAAATGTATGTTTTCCATGATTTTTAAAGTTTGTTACTATATTTGACACCTTACTAGTGCCATGTTTCTCTGGAAATTGTGGTGGAGAAGTGCATATTTTCATTGTGGAAAACTTGGAAAAGAATTAATCAAACATGGTGAACAACACTGAGACTGCACAGAATGCTAGGAACGTCTTATGCTGTGCACTTCCTTTCCTGAAGTGATTTATAATTTGGTTCTTGGAATTAATGAGATCCAATTTTTAGCCGGATGGCAATGTATCTCAAGCCAATACGTATGCTCTTCTTTCACAGATTTTCCTTAATAACCAGCTCAAGCTTCTTATTTCTTTCACCGATTTCCCATAATAACCAGCTCAAGCTTCTAATTTTACTAGAAGCATCAATATTGGTTATGGCATAATTTTCAATGTTGGAATGCCTTACCAATCTCTTGAAAGCTATGACTTTTTAAAGAAGATATTTCTATTGTTTTTAGGAAGCATAGCAGTGTTATGTTTGATTCATTTGTTTTGTCGGAAACTTTTTGCTTTATGAGTCACATCATTATAAATTTAGCTATAGCAAGGTCGCTTGGGATTTAAGTGTGTGAATGAAGCAATTCTTTCTTGCTTTGGCAGATGGGCTTTAGTTTTGCTGGAAAAGCTGTGTATAGTGCAGTCTGGATTGCTGCTGTATCCCTATTCATGGAATTGCTGGGTTTCTCTACTCAAAAGTGGCTCACAGCTGGAGGCCTTGGTACAGTGTTGCTCACCCTTGCTGGCCGAGAGGTAAATCATGGCTTACTAGGCATATCATTTCGGCTACTCACTGCAGTTTTAGAATCATTCATTGTGGTTCTAATGTTGAAGACACATCATGTGAATTTTTATTGACCTTAAGCGGATCTTCATTTACATGATTGGTTTGTGCATTCAGATATTTACAAATTTTCTTTCGAGTGTAATGATCCACGCGACACAGCCATTTGTTTTGAATGAATGGATTCAGACAAAAATCCAAGGCTACGAAGTTTCTGGTACTGTTGAGGTTTGTCTTTTTTCCTTCCACTCATTTTGAAGCAGGAAAATAAGACTACAAATAAGACTAGCCAGAACAAATCATGTATATGCATATTCTTTTCTTCAGTTAACTTCATCTAAACTGAAATAGGAAACCATGATTTGGTTCCTTTCTGTAAAAGTGAGAAGAAACCAAATTCTAGGTGCTTTAACCATTTATGATTCATATCTATTTAAATCTCTCATGTTGTTCCAGCATGTGGGCTGGTGGTCACCAACAATTATACGAGGTGATGATCGTGAAGCTGTTCACATTCCAAACCACAAGTTCAATGTGAGTGTTGTGAGAAATCTTAGCCAGAAAACTCATTGGCGCATCAAAACCCACCTTGCTATCAATCACTTGGATGTCAACAAAATTAATGTGAGGAGCGATACTAGTTCACCTACTTGTAAATATTTGTAACAATCTAGTACTTTTGCTGCATCTTTCACCTGAAAGGAGGACATAAGTTAGGCCCTGCATTTTCTACTTGCAGAATATTGTAGCTGATATGCGTAAAGTTTTGGCCAAAAATCCACAAATTGAGCAGCAAAGGTTGCACAGAAGAGTTTTCCTGGATAATATCAATCCAGAGAATCAAGCTCTCATGGTAAGGCTTTAATTGCCATTATAGTTTTTCAGAATTGAGATTCTTGCACCTGATTTTATGAAGCCCTTACAAGAAACTTGAAGGGGCCTTTGGAAAGACATAATGAGAAACCATTTCCTTGGCCCTCTATTTGATTAATTTTCTTTGCTAGTGAATTTCTTCATTTGTCATGTATATACAGTTTATAGAGTGTGAAGCTCATGAAGTGTGTGGTGACTTGAGTTTCTGGACTTCATCAGTTTGGATCAAACCCTCTGAAATTATGTGTTTGCTGGCTTATGAATGTCTAACAGTGTCAATCAATAAGTAATGTACAACTTATGCATGGGAAAAATAATTAAGGCTAAAGTTTCCTAGATTACAATTATGAATCAACTGAAACATGTAATTCTTTTCTTTCTTTCTTTTTTTTTTTTTTTTTTTCCAGAAAAGAAATCTATTAGATCTTTTACATCTAGAGGTTGGTATTTCTGCACAATTATATGTTGTGTTTTAAAGGCATCTGGTTGGCCATATCTTCCAAATGTTTGACATTTTCTTTTGGGTGTCTCAACTGTGTGCATTTTGTTGAATGTGTATTTATTATGAGTTTTTTTATTTAGAAACACAACATCAGCCTTTCTTCCATCACATATTGTTTTTCTGTTGCAGATTTTGGTATCATGCTTTGTGAAAACCTCACATTTTGAAGAGTACCTATGTGTAAAGGTGAGACTAATGTTTTTTTTTTTTTTTTGAATACTCGATGCGATTGTCCAGATAAAATAGGATATGATGACGGAAAATTATTTCAATTGCTATTGTTAATACTTTCTCCATTGTGTCTGGGCTGTCACTAATGTGTCTATTACCGAAGGATATATAAAAGAAATTTGAAACGAACTCTCAAAAGGATTTTATTGTTGTCCATAAAGCTTTTGTACACCAACCAAGCTATTTGACAGCATTGTTTGGGATGCTGAGAGACCATAAACAGTAAATAATGGCAGAGTCACTCAAATTCCTATGAGCCACCAGTTATTGACCATCTTCTTCTTGACGTAATAACATTTGCAAAGTCATATATTGTTTTATTATTTTTATGGACTAGTGATTAAACAACAATTAAACTCATTGGATATAACATTTAGACTGTTGATCTGCTCTATCTTAGTGCTTGAAGCAAAACTTTGACTTCTTATTGTAAATGGAATGATACAGGAAGCAGTACTCTTGGATCTTCTTAGAGTAATTAGCCATCATCGCGCTCGCCTTGCCACACCTATTCGTACAGTACAGAAAATATACGGCGAGGCTGATTTGGAAAATGTGCCATTTTCCGACTCTGTATTCACACGCTCCGGAGCCACCACTAACCGCCCATTGTTGCTAATTGAACCCTCCTATAAAATTAATGGTGAAGATAAAGTTAAAGCTTCAAATCGTCCCTCTCGTGCTAATGAGGAAAAAGATGCAAAGGCTGAAGCAGCCCCGGTACCTGAGTTGAAAGCAGATACCAAGGCTGGATCAACACCAGTTGTTGACTTGAAAAGAGATAAGGTCATTGCAAAATCTACGTCCAACCCCAGCACAAACTCTAAGGTCTCAGCTGTCTCGGCATCTGACCCTCAGCTTATCAGTGCAATGCCTGATAATTCAGTTCAAAACAATTCTGAAGCACTGCAATATAATGGAAATATGCGAGATGGAAGGAAGGAGACACTGGGGCTAAATTCTGAAGGCATAGCCACCAAGGGAGCAACACTTGATAGGTCATCAGTTGCTAACCCAGGATCTGGGGGTGAAAGAACTGAGAGTCCTCCTGTAATTTCACAGGGCAGGCAGGATATTGAGAGATCTGTTGCATCACCATCAATGACCAGGCCTTCATTGGAGGAGAACCTTGTCCTCGGTGTTGCTCTGGAGGGCTCAAAACGAACTCTTCCAATTGAGGAAGAGACGGATCCATCTCCTTTCCCTCTAGAATCGAAGGAATTGGCTGCCAGCCGGAATGGAGGAGCATCTCCTCCTGCTAAGGGTAAGAAAGACAGCCAGGACAGTTCCTAGCACCTCACAAAGCGATCAGCAGGGTGAAGGTGACCAAATGTTTGGTGTAGTAAATGCCCATTAACCATTAAATTTATGCAAGAATGCGGCAGCTGTGTTTTTAAAGCTGGCGCCCTGCAGTTCAATGTCATTATTACTAGCCTGTATGTGTAAATAATTGTCAAATTGAAACTTGCGGGCCAATTCGGAACAATTGAAAAAAAGGACCAATGAAATATATGTTTACCCTGGATAGTCGCTTGATGTGTCAGATAAAGAACTTCTGTTTTACTTTTCTGAGATATCTTCACAATGTATGGATATTTTAGGAATATCTTGCAGCCAATCATCCCGAGCAATCACAGTTTCTGAAGGGAAGCGAATATTATCTCTTTACCAAAACAACTTCGAATTCTAAAGTCATTCAAATATGGTCGCCTCGCATTTGTATCATTGATCCTAATTTGCAAAATTTCCACCATGGCTCTCATATTTATCAACTGGAATGGCATGTAACAACATGCTAACACGCTGTCCCAGTTGCTAAATTGAAATTATCACCCATTCTTTTACAACGTGACTAAACACTTTAATTATTATAAGATCAAACAAAATCTGAAATTAAATTATATCTAAACATTAGTATGTACAAGCCACAAACAGATTGTTTACTAGGTGATCGACCAATGCTTACAGCTCAAAATTTTGTATTCATCCCAGTTATGAATGACACATACAATCAGGGATAGGGTATGTATATATCGATTGCTTCTCCTTTCTCAGCCTGATCTGCCCTTGTCTACTTTTATGCCCATTGAGAACTGCACGCTGAAATTCTGGCCACTCTATGCTATTGTTCAGGAAAAGCCGGCCCAACATCACCATGTTTGGTCTTATGGTCTTCAAGTTTAGGTAAGCTCTATGTCCAACCTGATAATAGAAGTAACATTTTCATTTTATGGTCTACAGAATTCGTATTGCACCACAATATAAGCAACATAAAATCGAAAGTTATGCACCATGGTCAAATGCTACTGGTGGTACTGCATAAGTTTCTTTCGCCAGGGACATTAGACATGATTCAGAGCATTAGATCTAACCATTACACAAAGGTCATGAAAATTTATGTTATGATGATAGTATTAATACCTTTAATGATCTTCAAGAAAATACTTTGGTTTTATTTTAAAAAAAATGCTTATAAATAAAATCAATAGAGATCCTTTCTTCTTACCAAAGCATTGTGCATGTTTCCAGGAGAAGCAGAGATAAAGATGTCACTCTGCAAACTCACATAATAGTCAACTGCAGCCAACAGGGAAGCCTTGCTGTCAACCTTTGCCAGTTCCTCTGCAGAGGCAAGGCTCTTTTTATCATCCATAAAGGGGAATAATCTTTTTAAAGTAGAGATCCTTGTTTCTCCACCATAAACCTGAAAATGAAATTCAACCAAATATCAAGTTCTAACAGGAGGCGAGAGTATTTTTCACAAAGGTAATTGATAAACAACATGCAAGCACTAACTTGAGTCCTGAAACACAATGTAAAACTTACCGATTTTCAAGTAAGAAGGTACAATACTAACCTTGTGTGATGCAAGGTAGAGACGGGTGCTATTGCTGAAGCCCAAAGCTGCTAGTAGCAATCCAATCTCTTCGGGAGTCAATGGACAACGCCCTTGATTTCTCAACTCCTCATTTGTGAACTGAGAGTTCAAAACTCTTCCCTGCCAAAGCACTTGGCGGTATTTTGCTAGAGCAAGTCTTTCAGCTTTACCCCCACCAAAATCACATGATGAATGAGCAGCCATGTCCTGTACAAGTTCAGGTTAGGGTGAGAGCTACTGAAAAACATGCTTGTTTTAAAAGGAAACTCTAGAGTGATAAACAAATAGTATGTGATTGAATCATAGGCAATCATCAAGATAGGTGATTATAATGCATCGGTAGAAGCAGGTTTTATAGGACAATGCATAATCAACAACCACATTTTCAGATTTCTTAAAATGATTCAGGGCATGTACATTTACAAACATTGAAGTGAAAGAAAGTTCATACTTTCCAAAAATGTATCTCCTTTAACATAGTCCAAAAAGTTCCACAAATCCAAACATGATATGTTTCTGTCCATCATTTGTGAGATTTGAAGAACATACTTTATCAAAGCGAAGATGTAACACGACAAACTTTCCAGATCCCCCGAATTCAGTATCATCTGTCCTCTCTTTTAGGAACTCAGTTCCAGAGGTTTGAAGCTTCCCAAAAGGATGGCGGAGACGATTAATGAGTGTATCTCCCAGCACTCTGATATGAGGAACGAAAGCTAGTGCTTGAAAATTGACTTTACAACGTAGGCGCTGGATTTTTGTGGGCAATTTGTCAAAAGCCAGGCGGTGAGAAAATGGGGCAATGGCAGCAATTCCGTAACTGCAACACTAAAATTCACTTCTGAGTACAAGAATCAATGCATTCCAGTAAATCAAAGATATATTAATTGCAGTCCTGACCTGAATACAGATTTGCCAACTCCAATCATGAACCAAGAAGATAATTCAAATAAATTTAGGCAGAATAACTTATACATGAAACACAAAAGTGAAAACAGAGGTAGCTTATGATAAAACACAATAGTTTTAATAGTCATGTGGCTCATCAAAATAAATGATGCCAAGTAATCGACGCAGAAAGCAAGCCACACTACTCCATTTGTTTTTTTATTTTTCAATTTTTTTCCTTAATGGGTACAAGTTGATTAAAGGATGCCTGAAGATAGAGTTATCAAAAGTGCAAGGAAGGCATACAGAAAAGCATCCTTGAATAAATAAATAAATAAAAGAAGAAGTATAGCGAAATATGAAATAGTTACCAACAAATTCAATAAATTATGAGGAATGACTTTTTTTCAACTCTGACCATGAAATCAAAAGTTTTCCGCAACAAAATGTGATCAATTTTTTTCTAACCTCCGCAACACAGGCAATACATTTTCCAGATACCAGTCAGCTGAAGCATGGACAGGTGCTGTTTTGATTCTAGTAGCTCGTATGCCTGTAGCGTAATACTCTCTCGTGCTCCAAGAGTACTCGCTGGGTGGCTCTTTAACTATTGCAACGTCATGACTTAGGGTATCAATAAAGTGTTCCAAATCAAATATATCCGCAAATGAACTGCATGTGAGAAAATATTCACTTTAAGGTTTCATGTTTAGACAGCAATCTAAAATGCAAGAAAGGTTGCAAAGGTAGCTTACTCGCAAAATACCTTGCATCTTGCCAAACGGGATTTACTTCAAGGTGTGGGATCACAAGTGTTGCATTCAGTATTTTAGCAACAGCAACCGCATCACATATCTTTAGTAAAAAGAGCAAGAAATAACTATCAATTCACACAAAATGGATTAAAAAAAGAAGGAAGAAGAAGAAACCAGACATTGCAATTCAGTTACTTACTCCCATTCTTTGTTGGTTTAATCCTCCATCAAGAAACACTTGGATATAGCCTAGGGACTTTGTTGGCAATGCTTGAATAAAATTAAATATAAGAACCTTTGTTAGAAATGCATTTGCTCATTTATTTCGTAATTTAATTTACAACAAAATCAGGTTAATTATTTTAGCTAGACAGTTAATGCTTACAGTGAATCGGTGTGGGTTCAACGCAAGGCTTCCACCCTTGGTAAGGCAAAGGAGACCACAGCTCATTCCGTTGTCTAACAGGCTAAAAAAAAATGGATTCAAAGAGAGGAGAAAATTTTAACCAATTTTAAGAAAGACAGAGAAGGGAGCACGTCCTTACAATATGTCGATCTAAAGCAGCTTTGAGTAGAGGCAAATGCCTAGGTTTTGGAGCATTCCACTCCTGCAAATGCAACGACTTTATAAATTAGCGAACTTACAGAAAGGGAGAGAAATATGAAAAACTAGTGAGAAAAGCAGAGCGTACGGAGAAGAGAGAAGGATAGGATCGGCTCAATGGAATGAAGAGATGAGGACATAAAATGGGTAGAAGAATGACGAAAAGCCCAGCAAAAGCCATTCTTTGTGACTGATTCTGGAGATTGTACTTCATTGTTATCCGATTCGGCTTCTAACACCCTAGTGACGTCAATTTCAGAAACCTGAAGCTGATTTCATTCTCCGATTTGCCAGGTGAGTGCTCCTCGATTTGCTTTTTTTTTTAATTGAAAAAAGAATGAAAGAAATTGAAGTGTGTTGCCGAGAGACTGTAAACTGATTGTTCAGTTGCAGGAAAACGGGAAGGCTATTGTTTTGGGGTTATGCTGCAACTGCTGCGTCGTCTAGGAACTAAATGACATGTCTATTTCATTGTAAATCAATTAGATGGTCCATCATTGATCATGAAACAGGTTCAACGACGAGTGCTCCGCCCGAACGGATACCATGATAGGAATCGTAATATTTTGTAATTTTTGGGTCATTTATGCAAACTTTGTTAGGATCAACTCCTTCTCTCTCAAATAGTTATTCTTATCTAAATGCACTTATTGCTATTCATTTTTTTCAGCTGAATTTAAAAAAGAACAAAAATCTAATATTCAAATAAAGTAAAATATATTAATTAAAGCTATTAAATGAGTTCTATTTTATGGTAATTTTTAAAGTATTTATAATAAATTCTATTAGATATAGGAATGTAGAGATTAATTTATAAGATTTTAAATGATTTTTTACAAATGTTCTAAAACCACCATTAGCCGGTTTGGTTACCGTTTGCTCATAATCATTTATGGTTGATACGAAAGGCAACATATTACTTCCATATTACGGTATGGCTCTCAATATGTTAGCATATGACCCCTATCATTGTTAAAAATAAAATAATGAATTACTATTTTTGCATCGAAAGTCGGATTATTTGTTGAGCATAAAAAAGTACATCGAACCGTTTTACGACAGATGGAGACAGATGGAGATTGGTTTCTCCAATCTACAAAACGCATATGAGCCTATAGGATTTTGAGTAATTCCTTATATTCTTGTTTGCCGCAGCCTGCTCTTGGATTCAATGACAAAAACCCTGTTGCCATATATATATATATATATATATTTACATATGGAAGAGATGTTCTCATTTTATTTAAACCTGAAACAATCTTAGCCATTTAATTCAGTTCGATAGACTCACTTTAGCTGAATTCTCCAATACCTGGGAGACATAATAATAGCTAATTCAAGCTTCGAACATAATTAATCCAACTTATTGCAAGTTGCAACTAAATATGTAATTTCGCTGCTCTTGCTTGTTAACATTAACAACAAGTATATTCAGTATCGAAACAATTCTTTTCTTACAGAGTTTCCAGTTCTACATGAGAAAAAATTGTTGTGTAAACTTAAATCTATGAGCTAAGTCAAAACGAAACAAAAAAGCAATTAAACCAACAAATTTTCCTAGATGCAGTATATCAGACAAAAATTGGAGCATGTATTCAATTCGAATGTCCTCAACTATATATCCGTTTGATTATATATTTGCGTTGGCAGGCCATAAGATGACTTTTACTAATCACTAATTACCAGACACCAAGTAACTGCACCTAACCAATTTTCCTACATCCGTCCACCAGTTATCGTCGACATAGAGAGGTGACGCTATTCACATAATGGTACATCAACATCTAGTGAGGTCCCAAATTCCCAACACATAATTATGTTAACAAATTCAGTGGGGAACTCCATCCAGCCTAAATCACAAATCCAGATCCTTTGACAGGCTTCTGATGATACCTCCTTCAGCTTCATGGGGAGGTGTAAGCCTGCGCCTCTTTGCAGCTTGCTGTTCATCTGATTCTACTAACATCACATCATCACCAATCAATTGCACATCATTCTCAGTTACCTCAGTCTTTTGCAAATCTTGATGCAATCCATTCTCTACCAAAGCGTGGTCTTCTTGCAATGATGCAGATAAATTTTCCTGACAAGAGGCAGGGTTGGCATTCTCATTGCCATAACGAATCCTGTCAGCATCGTCCATACCTTCAAGGTTATGTATACCTTCAATTGTTTGCATATCATCCTGAGTGACCTCTGGCTTTTCCAAATCTTGATGCAATACATTCTCTACCAAGTCAGGGTCTCTTTGCAGTGACGTTGAAAAATTTCCCTGACCAGAGGCAAGGTGGTCAATCTCATTGCCATCATGAATCCTGTCAACATCATCGGTACCTTCAAGGTTCTGTATACCTCCAAAGGTAGAATTCTCGAGCATCTCACAAGAGGCAGAAGCAAGGCACCCAACGTCTTCCATCAAAGGGGATCTTTGTTGATCAAATTTCTCTTTTTGACATTGACCTACATCTTCCTTAACTGGACAATTTTCAATGATTCCCACATCTGAATCATCGGAGGCACAGTCTGACATGTCTGAAGATGAATCATTGTCACCTGCTTGCAAAGAAATCCCTGGATTCCAAGAATCATCAGCCTCAAAACCTCTAAAAGGACATGGCATGGAACCATCTTGAGGTGTCATTCCTGCAATTTGCTGAAAAACAGTATCTCCGGAAGGGAAATACATAAACTGCTCCCCAGTTTCTGTATCATCCTGCTGCAAAACCAAAAATGTGTCATAGGAGTTCACAAGAAACTGGTATCAAGACCTCTTTTGGCACTTTCAAGTGACAGAAATAAAGCATGTTAAATTGCATACTTAACAATTTAGCCAGAATAATAGATAATGTCAATACCTCTATCTGTGACATAGCACCATTAAGGTGGTAATAAGACGAAGGCTGGTCAAAGGATGGACACTGTGCAAGTAATGGTCCAGCAGCAACTCCTGGCTCAAAAATTCCCTAAGAACCAAGCCAGGATCATTAACACACTGAGAATTTCTCACAGAAGATGCTTCCAATAGAGTAATTTCAATGCCCTGGCCAGGGTCAGAACTTGATAAATTAACACGGCAAGCTCCACCAGGAGTGCGTCTGTCTGAAACAAGCTCCAATCCAGATTCTTTCGCATCAATTTCTGGAAAATTAGGCTGTGGTTCATCACTGCAACCACCAGAAGAAACTTCCAGAGAACGATTTTGAAGCAGCTCAGAAATTAGCCTCTGGATAAGAGTTCGCTTGAGAGAAGCTTCAGCAGGAGGAAACCAATCCCCATTGAGCTGTTCATTAAAGGAAGAAACACAAGGGAAAAGTAACAGCATGTGACTAAACATCTGAAAGACCAAACAAACAAGCAATTGCAGTTTCAATTTTCAAGTAAAGCAATCCATCTATAAAACGATCTGGCCATCAGGATGCCTTGCTACATATATATTAACAAAAAAGAGCTAATTATGAACAGCATAGTCCAAGGCATAGGAGCAATCCAACTCCCATGTATTGCCAAGATTCTGTTCACTATCTTGCAGAATACAAAATGCACCTTTCTACCATGTTCAGAACCCTGACTTTAGAACAATAGAAATACAATATCATCCAGACACATCCGATGGAGTGAACTTACAAACTTATTGAACTCGTTTATTCTGAATGGGCTGAAATTCACTGGGGCCTCTACCAAAAAAAGTTCCAGATAGTGAAGCAGGAACAGACCGCAATCAAATGAATTTTCCTGCTGTGGCAGCTGTCACACGAACATGACCAAAAAGTAAGAACAATCACAGTACACGAACCCAACCAGATCACGAAAGCATGCATCAGACAGACACAGACACAGGCCAAATCTTATTATATAACTATATAACAAATCACTGCACAAATACACATGCTATCTTACCATATAAAGCATACAGAATTGCTTTTTCTTCATTGATTTTTTAAGCTTTTCTAAAAGAAGAGAGTAATGATATATCGCTAGGCAACAACTTCAATATCTAATTAACTTGCGAATGAAGAGCAAGAAAAAAACATTACAAAATATGTTGCAGTCAGATTATACTAGCATATTATGGTATTTCATTTATTGATTGACTTGTGGTGAACTTAATAAAGCTACCTTATAAATTACTAAGAAAAGAAGTTCAACTGAATGAAAATTAACCCACGAAAATACTTTCCCTATTTACTATCAGCTCCCATTTATGAGAAAACATGAGCAGTTCCATAAGCTTAAGTGTTGGCCTCATCTGATTTTGCAAGTCAAATCAAAGGGATATCATGATCTATATGCCTGGGTTAACTAAAGATAGCTTCTATTGGAACTGTTCTGCAGCAATCAACTCTGTAGTAGTTAAACTTATTAACTGAGACTAGGGAAATACCTCAAGTGGGACGAACCGCAAATTCAAGAATTTTGAAGACATGTCTTCTGATGAGTCCTTTTGCCTCTCTTTCCACTCTTCCCATAAATATCTGTCACTCAGCACATGAAAGAGACATATAAGAAACAAGGGGTTGCTTAGAAAACTATAAAATAAAATGAAGGTCATCAAGGAAAAGGATGATCAAGGAGAGAGAGGTTTGCCATAAAGCTTTTACTGTTATACAAGACAAAGATGATTGGACAGAAAAAAAAAGAATAGCAAGATGGTTTAGCCATGTGTGACTGATTTTTTGTATGAGAAGAAAATTAGCTTTATTTGATGTGTTCAATACTAGAATCAACAACAGGAGCAGCCAAACAATATTTTGTTGCTTCTACCTTTCCAATAAAGCACTTAACATAGAAATATTTTGCAAACATAGCATATCATTTTGGGGCTCTGCTCAGACTGTCCCAATCTGACAGAGCATATCCAATATTAATAGCAATTTAGATAAAAACATTGCAATACAACTACTTTTGACATTGGGAATTTGAATGACAAATTGAAGCAATGTGCCACCTTCAGTGTGATGAAGATGAAGATGGACAACAATCGGAATTTGGTTAGTAAAAATTCCTGATTTGGTATGATTAATAAAAATTCCTAAATAATGAAATAGTAATTCCCACTGTTATCGATCTTCATTCCCCATCACAGTGTCTAAAAATCATGGTTGTTAAAAAGGTGTTCCAAATAGTAAAACCGAATATTCTTACGTATCGAACACCAAAAAAGAGCTAACTCAGCGAAAAAATCGGTCATCAGCAAAATCGTCTTGGAATTGCTTGCCGACTCGCTGAACTCAAAAAAGGCACAAGCTACAAGCGATCCCTTTTTGGAATGTGTTTTAAGTGCTCCATCTTTTAATTGTCAGTTTTAACGAACTCTAAGTGCTCTTTTTTGGCCCATTTCCAGTGATTGAGCTACTCAAATATCCCTTAGCTAAACACTCCAATGTCTTAATGACCACCGAAAAAAAAAAAGCAAGACTTTTTTATTTTATTTTTTTGTCGATTTTATCTTTAACATGAATGCTCCTATGCTTAACTTAAGAGATATATATAAAAGGAAAAGGGCACTAATCTTTGCCCCTTTTTAACGTAAGAGACATATATATATATTGTAGGAAATATCGGGATATAATTAGATAGGAAATATTTTATATATTCTTTCCTATTCTGTAGGGATCCTATTCTATCTTCCTATTCTTTAGGAATTCTTTCCTATCTTAGGACTCTCTATGTATATATATATATGTAGTTGTGTAATTGAAACATACTGAAATTATTTTCCCAAATATTATTTTCTTCATATATATATATTCCTCTTTTTTTATTGGGTTTAATGAGTTTATTTCTTATGGAAAAAATCTTGACCTTGCAAAATACTAGCTATTTTCCCCCCAAGTCATATCAGTGCTACTGTTAATTATTTATTGAATGAAACGTGTGCATGAGTAAAACACTTATTCACTTTGATGGATCTATCTTTTCATGACAGATTCTACGTTAATTTAAAAATTAATAGTCTATATGAACTTTGGATTTAACTAATTATTTAAAGTAAAGGAACTCTTATGTTTTCACTATCCGAGTCATTCAGACCTATTACAATCCAAGTCAAAAAAGCGATTTTGCAACCTTGCTAAAAATTATACACATGCAGATGTGTTGTCAAACAAAAGGATACAAACAAGTTAAGTTATACCTTTGAACAAGATTTTTGAGACCTGCATGAGTTCCTTTGATAGAATCCATATGCAATATACATGGTACTTTGACAGATTTTTCTGTGTCTTCTTCTGAAATATGGTGCAATTACGTAAACAAAAGGTTGATCAACGTTCAAAATCATGCAATCTGCCAAGAACTCACCTTTCACACCAGCTACTTCACCAGGATGGCATATTACTAATAAACTCCAGTGAAGACTGTAATTAAAACATGCATACAAATTACACCAGCAAAGGATCTATAAAATCAAATCATAAAACAGAGAGAGAGAAAGAGAGGTTGTTTTAACTATTTTCTTACTTGAAATTTACAGGGATGAAAATGTAGTCTTTTCCAAATACATCCACTTTTCTGGTCCATTTATGGACGCGTAAAAAAGCAGCTCTACCATCTTTCACACTAGATGGATCTTTGTCAAGATCAGCAAGCTTCCTAAAGAAAAAGCTATTGAAAAAATGGTATCGGTGCTTTTCCTCAGGGGAAATCTGATTCTTCAAATACCTGCCCCCCAATCATTTCATTTTTTTAATGCACATTTAAATGTAAACCATAAAAAAAATTAAAACAGATGTGGAAGTTTCGTATTGTGATGGAGCTACAAATATAAATTAAAAAAAGTATTTAAAAAATCGATCCTTGTTTCTTTTCAAAACTAACTCACCAGAAACAAGCGATGCAACCTTTACATCTTAAGGACTGGAAATGGCCAGTCCTGGTTGCAACTAAAAAAACATTATTGTATGCAAAGAAACTTACTTAATGTAAAAGTCAATAATTGTATCATTGATGAAAGTCTCTGGTTGTAATAGATCAACATCTCTCTTACTAATGGAAACTGCATCTGAATCCCCTTTTGGATAGATAACATCTTCGAACTCTGCATCAAAACTGTAAAGTGCCAAGATTATTCAGTAACTTACCATACAAAGATCATACACAGGCAGGTGTGCTGTATTTTCACAACTACACCATGTGTTCGCATTATCAGAAAAAAATTTACATACACCACTTGTGCAAAAGAGGCACAGATCATCTTCTCTAAGGATTAAAATCAATGAATATGCACACGTTGTACAAGCACACAAATAAAAAGTACAATTATCAGTTTCAAAATTATATAAGTCCTGAATCTTCATGTAAAGCAAATTCTGGCAAAGGGGACGAACTCAGTCGGAAATTCAGTCAATTTTTTTTTTTTTTAGCATTTTCATATCAATATACATCTTAAAGAACACTTCATTTGGAGGCTATCGGGGAGACCTTGCATTTAAATCCTCTTAAACAATAGTAACTGTCCTCATTGTGAAAGAAAAGAAGAATGAACACTCAATCCCAAGGGCCACTCATCTACTACTTTAACAATCAAGACTAATATGTTGATCGGCAATGTATATAAAATCCATCCACAAAACCAAAGATGAATTTGTTTTGACTGAATCTTCAGATGATAGGGAAGGTCAAGAACTATAATACCTAATTTACCTTATAAACAATAAAAACACCTACAGGGTATGACTGATTTCATTTTGGCATAAAGTTTAATGCAGCTTGATCCAGAAGTTAAGTAGAGAACATAGAAATGTGAAACCACTAAGGAAATGGGTAGCAAGAGAATCACGAGACACATTTCATAGCCCAACACCTAGGGGGCTATCACTCACCTTGGGAAATAACGCCTCTGTTGAAGTAATTCCACTCCTCCATCCATTGCAATACCCGTACTACAAGCAGATGGATAAAAGAAAAGGCAAGAAAAGTTATATGAAAGCAATAATAAAAATTCATAACAAAAAAAGACAGAGAGAGAAGATGCTGCAAAGCCAGCCTTCCTCAACACTTTGAACAAAGTGACTCTTAATATATCAAAAGGATGGATAAATCCTCAAGAGTTGTGGCCATGCAACAAGCAAGTTTCTCAGCCAGTATCAACTCACACCACATGGAAAGCAAAAGAGCTTATTAAATGGGTTAAAATAGCACCTTTATTGGAGGCATTGGCACAAGCCTCCAAGAGCAATTTAAGTAGGAAGCATAGCAAATTATATGAAAGGTAAACTGTAATTAATAACATATGGATACAATTCTGCAAACTTACTCATGTATAACGCTCAGTAGTGCCGAGTACTTCACATTCAGATATGTAATCTCTTCCCATTTCCTAGACCAATTTGGCTCAACAACAGCAACCTCCAACTCCTCAACACCTACACAGACAAATAAAATCAGCAAATTAAGAAACTTGACATCCAAATAACAAAAACAGAGGTACCTTCTAGACATCAACCAGCTTAAATATTGAAGTTAATACAATATATTCTTCAGCAGAACTTTACATACTAACATTGCTTCAATTAATGCAGCATTGCTAATCAAAACTTCTTACAAACTCACAGTTATTAAGAAATAGTGTAAAGAACTTTAGTCATGTCTGATATAATCATACCAAAAAAAATTGCAACTTATCCGATCAATGAGCTCAATAATGTTGCAATTCCACTCTATATATACGTATCACCAATTTTACAATTTGCAATTACCTTGTTCATGTGTAATGTGTGTTTGAAATGTCAGAACAGAGAGAGGTGAATGCTTGCATAAAACTTGAGGGGGTTTAAAACAAATTGGGAGGTTAACACAAGATGCAGTTAGCTGAGGATCTTTCGATATTTTTGGCAGCTGATGTGAATTGCCATATGCATTAGTAATCAAATGAATCATACAGCACATGAAAATGTTGAGACTTGGAGACACATGAGTTACAAAAATACATGAAAACAAAATATGCAAGCACTAAACCACTACAAGACCACTAACCTGACATGCCATATCCGTTATCAGCTTGTACTGCATCCTTTGAAAGTATGCGAAGCTTAATTGTTACAGTTTCAAACTGAACACATAATAAACGCAACTTACTAAGGATGCTTAAATATCACAAGTTATAATCCCATAAGGTAGCTAGAACTTACTCTTTGAAGATTCTGAGACTCAATACTAACAATGTCATCAATTCCTGTTTTGAGGCTAAAGGTTCCTTCATCTCCATGAGCAATTGTACCGTTTATTTTAATGCCATCATAAGAAAAGGTCACCAGACACCCAGCACAATATTTACCACGGTACACAACATAATCAACAATGATATCAATGCCACCCTACAAATTGCACAAAAAACATATAACTAGCAATCTTGAACCTTTTCTTTCTCAAAATATGTATATAACTGAACAGTAGCCATCTTGCTCGCTGAACAACATATGTAAACTGAGTGGGAAAAGAAACTATCCCCACCAAGCCAAAAATGAAATAGATCGAAAGATTGATTTTGAAACATGAAGCGCATAGCTGAGCTTCAATACTAACTGGTTGATCAATTCTAAAGAATGCAATTAGTATAGCTCAACAGCAAGTAGAAGAAAAAACAAAACCAGGGTACAATTTCAAAAAGGTGGAATAGCCATGAGGTAACCAATGGCCATGGAAAAAGCTTTGTAATGTCTACCAAAAACATATTAGCCCCCTAATGTTCAAGACAGTCGAGCAACAGATAACACTCAAATAGGAATCCGGGTAGGAGGACATATTATGCATTAGCTAATTGAAGAAAATAACACAGGAATAAGGATGCAGACAGCTGTTTGAGAGCAGACTAAAAATAAGAAAACCTGCAACTGCTAAGTGACCAAAGTCACTGAACACATTAAAGCAAGTAGAATATTCAAGGATATCAAATACAGGAGCTTTAAAGTAAGAAAACAACAATGCATCTCATTTCTAATTCAGTATAAACTTGATTAATTCATGACTAAGAAACTTTTGTACCGTTTCTGAGTAGCTGAAACAGTTGGTTGATAGAGAGCCATTTAAAATAACTGCAATCACGCAGAAAAAAACCGGTAAGTGACAAAAAAGAAAATGCCACCCACAGATAACACAATATCCAGTAAATGAATATCATGAGAAATTACCGCCAGCCTCTGCGATGTCAGGAGTGGGGCTTGATGGAGAGCACTCCTTCATGTGGTCATCAACATCTAATTTCTCATCAACAGATTCACTCTGTAAAAATTTCAAACAAAGCAAAACAAGACTTCATAATCAATTTCATGATTGAAAACATAACCCAGCAGGCATAGGAGAAGCCAACATACACTGGACGGAGGACAATGTCTAATGCCACAATCTAATTGACTTTTCCCAAGCAAAGGTGGTTCATGGCATGAAATTCTTTTCTCGTGTTCACTGAAAAGCCCTTTCGATTCAAAATCATCTGCCCGAAAACAAGGATCTTGTTCATGACTTAAACAAGTTAACTGAGGAGCAGCATCAGAACCAGAATTTCCTTCGTCAGTGTTTAAGTCCCCTCCAACAGTTCCGGACTGAACATAAGCACCAGCATTATCACAGTCAATAGCATCAGCTTCTACACAAACTAAACTGCCAGTTTCGATTTTAGGAACATCACATTCCTGAGCAACTGGAAACACAATTAACAAAAATCAGTAATTTTAAACCTAAAATTAATCACCCAAAACATAAGTACGCCCAAATTCTACTTTTACTTAAATCGGTAGCGTAAGTCTCTAAATATTCATAATAATTCGAACTCCCAATTTAAAATATTTTGCAGTCTAGCATTACTTATTTCTCCTTCAGTTACATGATTGTTACTATAATTTTCTATAAAGGTAAATAAACCGTGACGTGAGTACCGCATTCGAGAAACTGGTACTTCAAAATGGCGGGATTGTCGAGGCTAGGGTTTTTGAACTTGCCTATGAATTTACCAGCTGCTAATTCAGCTGTCTCGTCTTCTTCTTTGAAATCGAAGACTTCGAGTCCGTTCTCCATCGTCGCGGGAGAGAGAGATCACTATCAATAGCGAGTGAGTCAACGACCGAGTCAGCCAATTAGAGAGATTTTTGCGAGACTCGGTCACTTTTCAGGCGTTATGGGTTTTTATTTATTGTATTGAAAGATCAATTGGAAGAGAGACCTAAATTTTGCACACAGAAATAATGAGCCAGTTGAAGGGGAAACACTTGCAATACAACATATATAAAGGGATAACTACAAGTTAAACCCCAACTATTATCCATTTCACAAGTTAATCCCCGACATTTAGATTTTTTCTAAAACAAGCTCAACCTATCAGAAAAATAATAAAATAACACCCACCATTTAACCCGGTAACATTCAACGTTGAGCTGCATGTGATCTCAACAATTTTGAAGCCAAACTTGACGCCTTACTTTGCACATGAGTTAATTCAAATATTAAAAGTTGATCGAAACATAAATTTTACGTTTTGCTACTAATTTGATATAAATCCTGTAGATATAATAATGGCTATAATAGTAAATCGCAACCTAATTCATAATCCACAAACTCTAACTTTTTTTAAAGCGAAAATATTTTAAAATATATATTTTTTTTATGCTACATTTATGATTCTCTTCGTGCTTAAAATATTTAAGAATTTATAAATTTTTTGAGTTCATGTCTATACAATTATGGGTTAATATAAATTCTTAGTGTGTGAAGAATTGATTGAAAACTATTGACCATGATTGATTTTCTACATTTTTTCCTTACTTATTTATTTATTATTATTTTTCTTTAAGACTTGTAAATGACCAATACAATATTAGAAGAGGAAAGATAGATTTAGATGAAAAAAATAATGGAGTTTTATGGACAAATAAGGAAGCAAATCATTGGAGACAGAAACTCAAGAGGAAGAAAGAAGAAGGAACAGAAGAAATTAATCGTGGAATGAATATTATAATAATTAACGACATTTTAGTATTTAATATATATTATATATAGTGGGTGATATGGAAGTATAGAATCAAAAATAGAGAATTTTACTTCCAATTTATCTGACTTTCACATCCTTATAACTGTTAACTGTTAATTAACTTATCTAAATGGTAGGGTTAATTTTTACGACCCAATAAGTTGAGCTTGTTTCAGAAAAATTCCATACGTTAAGGACAGAGTCGTGAAATGCATCATAGCTAGGGTTTATTTTCTAGTTATCCCAAATACAAAAGGTCATTGTAAGAATTGGGATTTGTGCTTCACGCGCCCATTTAGAGTAGGAAACACGTGTTAATCATTGGGGGTTCTGTTGGGGTTTGATGTCTGAATCCTGAGGGGAAAGGGGACTTCCACACTATTAATAGCGCGTGTTGTTTGAGTGTTGTGGTTAGTAAGTAAAAGAAGATTTCCTGTTAAAAAAGAAGGTAACAAATGATTTGTAAATCCCTCTACTACTCCAGAATCAGCCATCACTTCCTAATCCATCCATGTAAATCAAACCACACGTATTCATCGACAATTATATTAAAATCTTTTTACATGTAAATAAAATTATATTAAAGTTGATATTATTTAAATAATTTGAAGAAATAGAAACAAATATATTAAAATAAAAATGAAAATCATATTAATTTTAATAATTGATTATCAATCAGTATATATAAATCAATTTAAATAGATAAAACATGAAGTGATGTATTTCTTTAATATCGAAAATATTTTCAAAATGATTTTGCATTCTTTGACCATGAAAAAGCAAAAAAATAAAATAAAATAAAATAATTTTATCATCTCATGTATGAGTAATGTTATTCTTACAAAATTCATTGATCGGAAAATATCAACCATAATTTACTTATTTAATATAAAAAATATTCATCCAATTATTAAAATTTTTTGATACACGAATTCTACAAAGTAACTGTCTAAAAATAACATTATTCTTTTTGCATATCGTTCCACCCTAAAATTCAAATTATTTGCCCCAGGATGGTTTACTTCTATTTACTGTTTTCATTATAGTTTTGGGACGTGTTCGTTTCCAAACCATTACAAGTCCTAGTTAACCATTACATGCGTTCGTGGTGATGTTTGTAACGGGTGGGATCGATCAGTTTTAGGCTTTTAGCCTCTTCTGTGGTGATTACCATTTTAGTTGTATGGAGATTGGCAATTTCGTGGGCTTCACATATACTATTAAAGAGGGCAACAAGTGCGCCGATTAGATGGCTGACAAGGATCTTGAGCTTGATTTAGGACTGCATTTCTTTTTTTCTCCTCCTCCTAGCTAGGATTAACGATCTAATCTCCTGATGAAGGGAAAGACACTCATTTGGAAAAAATGGGAAGCAATCACATCTTCGAAGAACAGTGGTGGATTGGGATTTCGTATGGCGAGAGACAATAATATCGCTATGCTGCATAAATTGAGTCGGGATATTATTCAAAAGGCGGAGAAGCCGTGGGTTCAAGTTTTATCCTAAAAATATCTTGCTGGTGAATCAGTTGGTGTCTCACCATATTTGCAAGGCCTTTTCCTTTCTGAAGGATGGCCATATTTGGTGAACTGGGAATGAAGAAAGTGTATCTATTTGGTTTGATAGATGATTAACTTCTTGCCTGCTCCATTTTCGTATTCATGATATTGATGCCGCGAAGAGGCTGATGTTGGTAGCTGATATTATCTCTGATCATGGCACTTGGAATATTTCTCACCTTTGCACTTCTCTACCGTCTAAAATTAGTGCTTCTTTATCAGCTGCTCCTCTTACCAAGGTGTTTTCTATCGAAGACAGATAAGAATGGGTGAGACTAGCACGGGTTGCTACACTTCAAAGTTGGGGTACAAGTATATTACTGGAACTCCATATCCCAAGGAGTTGAATGCCCAGTGGAAAGCCATTTGGAAACTTGGGATTCCTCAAAAACACCGTTTCTTTTTTTGGCAATTGGAGTAGCATTGCATCCCTATTAATGTGCTTTGGTTCCATAAAGGCAGGCATGTATGGGTCTCCTATGCGTATATAGTGGATGCAGGGAGGAGCAGGAGACCATTTTGCACATTGCGTGATTATTTGTGGGCCTAAGTTGTTTGGCAGCAGCTACACTCTTTTGCTTTTATACCAGCATCTCTCTCTCTCGTGGGAGGAATGGTTTCACAAGTTTGCTCTCAGTTGTGATTTTCCACGGAGTCAGGGCCGGTTCTTTATTTTGGCGTACTGGTCTATCTGTGCTAGAAATCAAGATGTTATTCAAGGCTTTGCTTTGTCTTCTTATCGCCAGTTTCAGCTATTGCATTCTTTAGTGCAGGAACCTGTGTTAGCTTTTAATACTCCAATAGTTGATGACTCTCTGCATCCACCTCGATAGGTTTCCTGGTTAGTGCCACAAGTGGAATCGTTTAAGTTCAATACAGATGGTAATCTTCTTGGCAGCTTTTATCGTACATGAATAGGTGGTCGCCCTCAAGATTGTGCTGGCTCATGAAAGCTTGGATTCTCGGGCTATCTTGGCCAATCCATTGTGATGATGGCTGAGCTTGAGGCTCTTAGACAAGAGCTTATTCTTTCTTGGTATTCATGATTCAGAAAAGTAATTATAAAGACTTATTCACAGGAGGCAATACGAGCCATCCACGAGGAAGTCCTGCAGACTCCCCTTCCTATAATACCATCATTTATATTCAAAGTCTTACCAAACAGCGACGGAATGTTTCCTTTCAACACACATAAAGAGAAGGAAATCGTGGTGTAGATTTTCTAGCCCGGCTCGATTTTTCAAGTGATGAATACTTTTCAGATTTGGCAACAACCATCGCTAAGCTTTCATTAAATTTTGCACAGTGATGCAGCAGGTGTCTCTCTGTCGAGGCTTTAGTTTCTGTTTCTTTCACGTCCTTGGTACTAAAAAAAAAAAGGGATTAGTGATCTTTTGCATCTAGACTATGCAACCCCCAGCGTTTTGTAGAAAGTTTTTCCCTATGCATGTCCTGCACGAAGAAATGAACAAAGCCAATTACCGCAGGTGATGCACTAATTCATGGGACTTTTTTGGGTCTATATCATAAAATATCTGAATATATATAGGTGTATGTCACAACTGTCACAATACTTAATTACAACATTATTGCATAAATTTAATGGTTCTCCTACATGCCTTTCAGCCCTCGATCAATTCTCAGTTAATTTATTCAGGATCAAATTAAGGTCCCAAGCATACGCTTTCTGTTTTAGATTTCATACACACAACAGAAATACCATGACACAGTAGTCCATCAGGTGAAGAAAGCGAATCCAGAATGTTTGCTAACACCCTTCCCCGTTACATCAATTTAAAACATATATAAATATCAGCATCTTTAAGGATATGTCGATCTTCAGGCGATAGCAGCTCTGTAACTCACAAGATTCTACTGGGTCATTTCATTTGCCTCCAGTTTCAGCTGCAGATGGCCAGCCTGAAAACATTTTGAAGTTGATGCAATTGAGCAATTATTCAATCTAAAAACACTAGCTACATAGTTGCCTCAATATTGACATCATGTTACATTTATGCAGATAAATTTTTAAAAAGGGAGCTTAGCAAACTTATATGAGTGGTGTGATTTAACCATTCATTTTATGATATTCATGTATCCTTAAAAGGCCAAAAAAAAAAAAAAAAAAAAAAAAAAAAACCGGAAAGGTGGAACGAAGAAGAAAAATTGCATTTCAATTTAACCAATATAATATAGGTCACTAAGTTCACCCTAATTTGAGAGAGGTATCGGAGCTATCATCCTCTATAGGAGGGCCACTGCTGCAGCTGCAGACATTCGTAGTAGACTCCGATGACATCCCTTCTTCCTGAACTGTTGCGTCTAAATCGACAAGTACAGGTCTCTTTCCCTTACAAATGGTTGTCATCTGCATGCAAATTCAAAATCACTTATTCCTCAATATTTAAATCTTCACGAATAACATTACAAGGACCTTTGCTATAAATTCTTACTTGTTGTTTTAATTGCTTGTTCTCTTTTAAAAGTTGTGCTCCCTGCATTATTGGAATAAACTATGTTATACAATTTTATAATTGAGTTCGGATTACGTCCAATAGATTTAAGATCAAATTTAGTGATAAGAATCATAGAATGGATGAAATATTGACTTTGCTTATCTTAACTATGATTAGAGCATAAAAACAAAACTAATGATTTGCAGCAGCTACACAAAAGAATGATTTCTTTTTTCCTTTTTTCCTTTTTTTAAATTGAGGAATGACTTTTGTCTACTTAGGATCTCTTGATGAAGTCATGACCAGCAAGTCTCGTATACCATGAAATCTGTAACTTTCTAACCTTCCTTTCAAGTGTAGATATCTCATTCATAATTCGTTCTCCCTGAAAGTAACAAAAAAGCTCTCAAGTTATTGCAAAATAAGCATCTATATATATTTGGTATGTTTGGTAGTAAATGGAGGACAAACCTTGGTTTCAAGCACACGGCTAAGTCCTACTTCAAGCACCTTTTCCAGTTGCTGCAATTCCTCTATATTTAGTCCTCGAAGATCTTCTCCTCTCATCCGCCTGCCATTCATTGAAGCGATGCATCTCATTAGAACTACAGCTGTAGCAATAGAGCAGTTAACACCTTGCAAAGTTCAGGTTACCTTAGTTGATGGCTCTTTTCAGAAACTTCCTTGCTCAATCGCATGTGATTGCTGTTTTCTAGCTATATATATGTACAATATAATTAAGAATGAAATTGGAGGTTAAGGTCAGTTATAACCTGCAGAGCTTGAAGAACACCTTGACAATGCACTTACAATGAACAAACAGAAAAACATATTTTCCATAACATTGAGGCGGTAGTCTTTATGCAAAACTGATAGAAAAGAAATTACCTGCAGCTCAAGAGACGGTTGGCATAGTTTGTCGAGGTTACTGGAGTGCAAATTATACCTCGCAAGAACATCCTTCATGCTACACATATATGAAAAAACAAGTACATCATATGAAAGCTTGTGATGGATTCAGAAAATGAGGAATAGAGATCATCGCCACACAAGCTTCTTTTTTGACAAGTCAAGTTCATTAAATTAAGCACACTAAAAGTTAGCCACCAAAGCAAGAGCAATACAAATATTATAAAACCCACGAGGGAAAAGACAAAAAACCTAGCGCTGTTGTTGCATAAGTTCTCTGCTGCATTATAGAGGTACAAGTGGGGCTGAAGAAAATTACTCGATTAATTATGCAAATTTCTTTGCACTGGATTTATTCATGTCAGCGTAGGCAGTTATGTGCAGTGTTTACAAGACTAATAAACCCCTCAAGCTCAGTAGGAGAATTAACATAGTTGTGGCATTAGTAATTTTTCTCTCAAATACATATAATTAAAGTATGTTGGCAAGGATTCAAACGTACTGAATACGTGCATATCCATGTTCATATCAGATACGATATCCATGCGCACTGAAAATTGGCAAATCCATGTTTTCAACATACTAAATGTATACAATTTAAATACAAACGAACTGAGGGAGAGAGTTTAAAAATATAAATGTATCCGTAAGACTTGCACCGTAGATTACACAAGCTTAAAATGATAAATGGAGAAGTTTGTTTGATAAGCCAATCAAGATATAAGAAAACACCAAAATCGGATCGGAGAATTATTTGGTCCAGAGAGAAAAAGGCAAACCAGTCTATACATAAGCCAGAAAAAATCAAAATAAATGAAGATGAAAACTGAAAAGGTATGTAACAACAGCCAACACAACATGAAGCTGATAGATCCCCGAACAATCCCAAACCAGCAGCCAAAAGCCAGCGGTCTGCACACTCCCAGAGAAATGTAACGCAAACATTTAAAATTATAAGGAGGGAAGTTAGGGGGTTCAAGAAAACGTCACAAAAACCTAAAGCTGACTAGTATATAAGTTTTGAAAATCATCCAATAGGACATTGTTTACGTTTATGATCAAGCTGATACTGTATATTTAATAGTAAATGGTAACTTGCTCGTAACTTGTTTATCAGCGAAATTGAAGGAAACTAAAGAGAACTTCATTCAGATTTTAGTAATATTATATTATGATAACGATAGGTATATACCCAGATTCATAACCAAACATTAAAGAGGAAATTGAAAAAAATATTTTTTTTTATATTGTTTCGAATAAACTCTTGTTCTTATTTTTTTTTAAAAAAAGGAAAAACATTAAGCAACTGAAGTTATTTTTCTTTTCACTGTTTCACCATTAGAACATGAATTACAGCACCTAAATTAAGAAGATTCTAAAAAAAATCAATGAAATAAAAAGGACAACACGTATCATTTTGCTATTAATTTTGGTCTAGGGTGAAAAGGAGAGATTTTAGAAAAAGAAAAGATAAAAAAAAGCACAAACAAAGGTTCTCTAGCACACATCTAGAATTAACTAATGACAAAGAAATGAGCCTCACATAGGAAAAAACAAATAAATCTTTGAAATTTTGTTGCTTGTAAACACCTAATTTGGCATCAATTGTTCTTAGAATTTAAAAGGATTGAATTTAATGTATAGAAAATCTTCAACCTCTTCCTTTCCGTTAGGTATAAATCCCAACCAAATTTTGAGGGTTGGTTCCCTTTCTTTTCCCTCAAACCCTCCATAAGAAATTACTTGACAGTCATCATGTGTATAGTAGAGTATCACTAGTAGTTCAGAAGGTCAGCCTAACTGAAAAGTGACTAACTAATTGGAAATCTCAAAAAGGCCTCCAATGCTATACCTTTTCACACAAGCAACAGTTGCACTGTTGTTTTGATCCACTATGGATCAGGGTTTTATATTTACGTGTTGTATTCGGTTTTCTCCAGCTGCTAGAACGTTCAGTACGTATTGCAGGGTTGAGTTAACAGAGTTAAAGACTTTCTCAAAAAAATTTATTCTGCACTATTTGGGATAAATAGTAGAGTTTACTTTAATCTTCATCGGGTAAACCCATTATTTGTACTTTGTGCTTTTACTAATTAATAAAAAAAAAACCCTATTATCAATTCGTTCAATTACGTACTTGTATTTTTATTTTAATCAATTCGGAATAATTTGCTTGAATGGAAAAGAAAACTACTTAACGAGCAAGGTGGGATGAATGATAATATTAATAGAAATAAAAAAATAATAATAAAGCCGAATAAGTAGTGAAAAAAATATTTAATTTGTTGAGATAAATTTATAATTTTAAAAAATTATGCTTAATTAGCTCAGATTAAAAATATACGTAATGAATTGACGAATTGATAACATAATTTTTTTTTTTTTTTAATGAACTATGAAAATACGAGGTACAAATAATAAGTTAGCCACCCATAAAGCTGATTTGAAATTTTATATGCTTCTGCTCTTTACTTTGTGGTACTAATTAAGTTTCTTAGATGTATAGAATATAAGGTATTTCCTTTCATCCCTTGCCTCTCTCTCTCTATCTCTGTACATAAAAGAAAACACAGTTTCATCTTTTTCGTGCTATTCTCACTCTAGAGATGTTTGGCAGTGTTTGAAAAACCATTTTTTTTTGTCTAATTTTTCAAAGAATTGAAAACAAAAAATGTATTTGTTCCAAAAGAAAAAAAACAGATTTCATTTTCAATTAGTAAATATAATCTAAGATTTGCAAAAGCCAATCTTCCCTCGGTATCACTTCTAGAGATCCTAGTTTTGTAGGAATGTTGAAATTCGGATAACAACCAATCCTCAAACTAAGGAATCATATAAAATGAATTAGTTATAATTATTTGATACGAACAAAATCATTTAGAAAGAATGTTCAACTATAACCTAAATTAATTTAAGTTAGTTAAATCATTGAGATATTTAAGTTTGTTAGTAACCGTGATTATAACACATGCTTCGCACATAATTTATTGACATTTTTTCTTACCTTGATAAATAGAGTATTAATAAGTAATTTAATATTTAGCTACAATATCAATAAACATTTATAGATTTTTCTAATTCACATTAAAATAATGATACTTTAAGCATCCCATGTTGTAAAGCAACTAATTTCTTATTTTCATTGTTTACAAAACAAAAAGAAAAAAATGCCTCACATTTTAATTAATCTATCGATGAATATTATGGCTTCCAATCATGAGGTGAAATTTTTATTGTTTTGCTGATAACAATAATTAAAACTTGAGCACTAATTTCATCTCAATATACATTGAAATCGCTTTCATTACTCTTCCCATATGGGTGTAATTAAGACACTAAGACTCCACCAAACATTTTTTGTTAGCTGTTAAAATTTGTTTCGAAATTTATGAACTAAGCTATTTTACAATTTTTTCCATGGCGCCCAAATAAAAGTTTGACACTTTATCATTTGAAGTCTAGGAAATCGGAGTATCTTTCTTATATTTGCAAACCAAAATCCATGTAAATCTCATGGCTGGGGAAAGATAGATCAACTTCCTTCTTCTGTTCCATTGAAATGGTCGTTGAGCTTTTAATTGTTATTCAACCAATTGAAAATTTGCAGTGTCAAGAACCAAAAACATACTCACACCATGTTATTCAACCATTTAAAAAGTTTTTTTCTTTTGACAAATGACACACATTTAAGGTCTACATGAACTTCAAAACATACCATATATATGAACGTTTTCGTTGAATTACAATATTGACAATGTCCAAGTGAGTTTTTATTGGAAAAGCCAAAGGATCAACAGTCCAGGTACAATTGGTTGCCCATATCCACCATGACCTGCTAAAATCATCTAGGCTCGAATAAATTAAAATTATTAAAACTCAAACCTATTTTATTGAAAATAAAAACTATCAAGCATACAATCATTAGACTCAAACCTATTTTAATTTACTTAAATGTTTACGTCCTATTTTAATTTGCTTACAGTCCAGGTATAATCGGTTGCCCTTATCCATCAGAACCCGGTCAAATTATCTAAGACTCGAATTAATCTAAATTAAGTTATGTCAACTCCAACAATATATAGTTGCTAAAATAGTAGAACATTTTCATCATATACAATACTATTCAAACAAATCATACAAAATATATAGAAATTTTTTTTTTTTCACAAAAAAGCAAGGTATATTATTTTCAAGTTTTACATTTTACCATTTATCAACTATCATGTTAACTTATAAAAAATTGAAAATTCTAATATAGATAGTTTGGTTGTAAATCATTTTCTCTTCAAAATATAAAAAAAGACAAGATAAGTCATAAGAAGGAACTTAGGTCATATATGAGCTGCTACTTCTTCAAGGAAACTAAAACACTCCTTTGACATACAAACACACATTAGAAAAACTAATAATCTTTGTTTAACTCCATTAACAAATTTCTTTACATCTTATTTCTTTTAATTCATCATGAAACCATCAAGTAAATTGAAATTACATAATAGTCAAATAAATTAAAATTATTGAGACTCAAACCTATTTTATTGAAAAAAAAACTATCAAGCATACAACCATTAGACTCAAACCTATTTTAATTTGCTTAAATGCTTACATCCTATTTTAATTTGCTTACAGTCCAGGTATAATCGGTTGCCTTTATCCATCAAAACCCGCTAAAATCATCTAGACTCGAATCAATCTAAATTATGTCAACTCCAATAATGTACAGTTGCTAAAATAGGAGAACATTTTGCATCATATACAATACTATTCAAACAAATCATACAAAATATAT